ATAATGTGGGAAAATGAAAGTTTACTTTGACAGGAAGAATAAAAAAGCAGTGCATTATCTAAATGGACAAATAATTGCAGAATTCGAAGTTGCAAAGGATCTAGATGTTCTTGTACATGAGCACAAAATGTTAGTATGCAGGTACAGCAAATTACTCAGAAGGTTAATAGAATGCTATCTTTTATTACGAGAGGAATTGAACATAAAAAATAAGGTTGTTATCCTGCACGTTGTTATGCATGGCATTGGTGAGACCACATCTTGAATACTGTGCCGTTTTGGCCTCCTTAGTTAGAGAAGGATGTAAATCCATTGTGGCAGCTCAGAAGAGATTTACTAATTGACACCTGGAATGAGCAGGTTGTGTTATAAGGATATGTTCGACAGGCTGGGCTTGTTTCCGGTGTAGTTTAAAAGAGCAAGGAGTCATTGATAGAAGTGAATAAGATCTTGACATGGTGGATATGGAAATTATGTTTTCTCTTGTGGGTGAGTGCAGAACTAGGTGCCATTGTTTGAAAATTTGTTCTTTTAGGGACAGAGATGAGATTTTTTTTCTTGAGGGCTGTGCAACTTTGGAACTCTGCAGAGTAAGTGGGGCTATTGAAGATTTTTAAGGCAGAGGGTGATTAAATTTTGATTTTCCTGTGTAACAAGAATCTGTCAGAGGTATACAGGAATGCACCATTCAAAACATAACTGATTCATCACAGTCTATTAAACAATCGAGCAGGTTCAAGGGGCCAGATGGCCTACATCAGCTCCAAATTCATATGAATCATAGAATCCCTACAGTGCAGAGGCAGGCTATTCAGTCCATTGAATCTGCACCGAATCGCTGCAGAGTATCCCACCCAGATCCACTCCTCGACCCTACACTTGCATCTCCCATGGCTAATCCACCTAATGTACACATTCCTGGACATTATAAGCAATTTAGCATGGCCAATCTACCTAACCTGCACATCTTTGGACTGTGGGAGAAACTGGAGCATCCAGAGGAAACCCAGGCAGACACAGGGAGAATGTGCAAACTCCAGACAGACAGTCACCTGACAATGGAATCAAACCGGCATCCCTGGCACTGTGAGGCAGCAATGCTAACAACTGAGCCACTGTGCCGCCCCGTTTGTATATTTGTAAATCTACTGCAGTAATTAATAGAATTAAAAGCTGTCAAGCCTCCCAGATCTGGTTATCTACATCCTAACCTTTAAAAAGATGTGGTTGCAGAGCTGACAAGTATACTGGTTGCCGATCAAGATTTTTGAACGGTCCCTGTAGTTTCAAAGGTACAAATGCAGTGCTGCTGTTCAAGAAAGGAAAGAAAATAAAACGTCAGAGCTGGTTCATCCGACATCAGTTGACAGAAAAATTTGGAAATTCATTAATAATGAAGACATTTAGAAAATCATAATATGATTATGGCTTCAGAAAACAAAATTGTGTTCGGCAGATCTGTTAATTCATTTTTGAAGACACAATTAGCATGGAAATTGGGGATGTAGTATATCTGGATTTTCAAAAGATATTAAATAAGGTGCCACCTAAAAGATTGTTTCACAAGATAAGGGTTATGTGGTTGAGGGTAGCATATAAGTATGGGTAAAGGATTGAATAACAAAATAAATTTTAAGTAAATGGAGAAATTTTAGATTGATAGGTTAACACCTAGAAGATGCAAGGATCAGTATTATAGCCACAGCTATTTACAATCTAAGTCTTGAATGAAGAGAGAGATGGTGGCATAGCAGTAATGTCACTGGATTAGTAATCCAGAAGATGAGATTAATCTTCTGGAGATATGGGTTCAAGTCACACTCTGGTAATTCATGGAATTTAACTTCAATTATAACATCTGAAATTGAAAACTGCTTTCAATAATAATGCTGATGGAGCCATGATTAATTGTTGTAACAACCCACCCGGTTCACTGATATCCTTTAGGGAAGGAAATAGGCTTCCCTTTACCTCATCTGACCCACACATGACTGAACCCACAGCAATGAGCTTGCCTCTTAACTGCCCTCTCAAGTGGCCCAGAAACTCTCTCAGATCAACGACACCTCGTCTTGCAAGTGATGCCCACATCTCATTAAGGAATAATGGATGAAGGAACTGGGTGGAGTGCGTCCACATTTTGCAGATGATGCAAACTAGGCAGGAAATTCCTATTCCCTGAGAGCTGCCACCCAGGTGGATAGAGTTGTTAAGAAGGCGTATGGTGTGTTAGCTTTCATTAATAGAGGGATTGAGTTCAAGAGCCGTGACGTTATGCTCCAGCTACACAAAAGTCTGGTTCGGCCACATCTGGAATACTGGTGTCCAGTTCTGGTCACCTCATTACAGGAAAGATGTGGAAGTGTTAGAAAAGGTGCAGAGGAGATTTACCAGGATGTTGCTTGGAATGGAGGGAAGGACTTACGAGGAAAGGTTGAGAGAGCTAGGGCTTTTCTCTTTAGAACGATGAAGGATGGGAGGTGACTTGGTAGAGGTGTACAAAATGATCAGAGGTATAGATAGAGTAGACAGCCAGAGACTTTTTCCTAGGGTGGAGGTAGTTTTTACGAGGACATAGTTTTGAAGTGAAAGGAGGTAGATATCAGGGAGACGTCAGAGGTAGGTTCTTTACTCAGAGAGTGGTCGGGGCGTGGAATGCATTGCCGGAGAGGGTAGTGGAGTCAGCTTCATTAGGGGCATTTAAGCGGCTATTAGATAGGCATATGGATGATAGTATAAGGTAGCGGTGGAGGTTAGATAGACCTTAGGTTTAGGGTAAAAGTTCGGCACGACATCGTGGGCCGAAGGGCCTGTACTGTGCTGTACTGCTGTATGTTCTATGAAAGTAGGCAGTGAGGTGGATTTAAAGGTTCTGAAGAAGACTATAAATGGGGCAAAAAGTAGCAAATGTCATATAATGTGAGAAATGAGAAGTTTTGGTAGCGAGAACAGAAAAATTGACATTTTCATGGTGAAGAAACTATTAAATGTTGAAGGCTCAGAAGGATTTTTTTCCGAGAAACAAAGTTAGCTTGCAATTATAGCAAGATGTTAGGAAATTAAGTGTCAGATTGTCATCTAGTGCAAGAGATTGAAGTACAAGAGTATAGATGTCTAGTTGCAATTGTACAGAATGCTGCTGAAGTACTGTGCCTGAAATACTGTGTTAATTTTGTTTCTGTACCCAAGAAAAGGTATTCCCTTCAAGTGGGTATGACAAAGGTTTACTTGATTGATTTTTGGAATGAGAGGATTATTTTATGAGGAAAGATTGAATAGAACGTGCCTATATAGGGGAACTAGTGACATAATGTCACTGAACTAGTGATACAGGAATAGAGTAATACAGCATGGAAACAGGCCCTTCAGCCCAAACTGGTCCATGCTGATCATGGTGCACACTCAGCTAGTTTCAATTGTCCGCATTTGGTCTATATCCCTGTAAACACTTCCCACGCACGTACTATCCAAATGTTTCTTAAATGTTGCTATTGTACCTGCCTCAACCACTTTCTCTGACAGCCCATTCCATTATATGCACCACTGTCTGCCTGAATAAATTGCCCCTCGGGTCCTTCTTACATCTATCCCCTCTCTCCTTAAACCCATGGCCTCTAGTTTTCAATTCCCGATCCCTTGGAAAAAGACTGTCTGCATTCATCCTATCTATGCCCCTCATGGTTTTATACACGTCTTTCTCCTATGTTCCTAGGAATAAAGTCCTATCTTGACCAACCTACCCCTATAACTCGGGCCAACTGGTCCTGGCAACATTCTCGTAAATCTTCTTTGCAGACTTACCAGTTTAACAATATATGACAGGGTGACCAAAATAAAATAACAAGGAACCTTAGGCTGATGCCAAAAAAAAATCTGGAATTAATAGTGATCATGGTAACATAATGGTGACCATGTACCCATGGTTAATTGTCATAAAGACTCATCTGGTCACTGATAGGTAAATCTGCCTTCCTTACTGGTCTGGCCTATGTGATTCCAGACCCATAACAATGTGCTTGATTCCTAGCTGCCCTCTGACTGAAGAGATTCCCACCTCCATCCTAAATGGCCATGCTTGCCCCTCAAGAGGAAATTCGCAACATTATGTCTTTTAGTTTCAGATTCCAGAAACAGCCTCTCAGCATCTACTCTATCCTATCCTCTCAATGTAATGATTCAGTAAGATCACCTCACTCTCTGAATGCTATAGTTCTTTTTAATTCACCATGGCTTTATGGACATTGCATTTGTTGCCCGTCACTAATTGCTCTGGAGAAAGTGATGGTACTTTCCTGAACTACTTCAGCTTTTTTCTGGATGTAGGGATACCCACAGTGCTACATTTCTTTAAATCTTGTAGCTGTTTGATGTACTTGCTAGGCCATTTCAGAGGATTACAAGTCTTTGAAATTCTTTGCCAGAAGTTTGCAAATGCTTAGCCATTGAGCATAATCAAGAATGATATTAATAGATTTTTGAACTCTAAGGTAATAACAGTGCAGCTTATTCCTGCTCCTATTGTTTATGTTCTTATCTGGAAAATCAGTGGGATTTTCATAGAATCCCTACAGTGTGGAAACAGGCCATTCAGCCCAACAAGTCCACACCACCCCTCTGAAGAGCATCCCACCCAGACCCATTCCCATGTCTAACCCACCTAACCTGAACATCCCCGGGCACTATGGGGAATTTAGCATGGCCAATCCACCTAGCCTGCGCATCTTTGGACTGTGGGAGGAAACCGGAGCACCCGGAGGAAACCCACGCAGACACAGGGAGAATGTGCGGACTCCACACAGACAGCTGCCCGAGGCTGGAATCGAACCCAGGTCTCTGGTGCTGTGAGGCAGCAGTGCTAACCACTGTGCCGTCCCTGCGTGAAATCAAACTTGCATGTAATGTTTCTCATATCATTTTTATTACACTACCTTTAAACTATTAACTTTATAAGAAGTTCACCTTATGATTTATTTAGATTTTGCATTTTGTTTGATTACTAGAAATCAGTGGAGGAAAATGAGGAACTGAAGAGTAAACTCGAAGCACAAGAAAATATAATTCAGAGTAAAGATCTTCAGCAGAAACAACTGTACGAGGAGTTGGTCCGGTGTAATGAATTACTGCAGGCTAAGGAGAAAACTGCCAGGTAACCAGCTATTGCAAGGGGGATGTTGTTAATTAAAGTGTATTTGGCAGTGTGATAGCATTAATTGGCTAAGAATATTAGACAAGAAAAGACTTGGTGCTTCATCTGCTGTCTACCAAATACTGAATTTTGTGCACCAGTGGACAGATATTCCTTGCCTTATACCCAGAAGGTTTACAGTCGCCTGGGAGAGGATTAAAACGAGGTCAGGAGCCCAGGCCAATTAGGGGATTAGATTTAAAAATTGAGCAAATTCCATTCTAACCTCAAGTGATGAAACTAGCTGTGGGGATCACTCTGATCTTCCTAACTCCACGCTGTTCATAGCTCTGGTACAAGGTGGTTTCCAACCTGCTCGGACAAATTCTGCATCTGATTGAAGAAGCTCAATCAGTCAAAAAGCATTTGCCTATCTCTGAAAGAGGGCCTTTGGTGCATGCGTTGTGGACTGAATAGTCTCCGTCTGCATTGTAACTATTCTGCAATTCACTTTGTGATATCTAACCTTAACTAATTTGAGGTTGTGCCTCAACCTATTTAGTTTAAAGGACTTGTCCACATTAGCACAATCCAATTCAATAAAAATCTTTGAGATGTTAATCAGATCAGTGCTATCTTTGCAGTGGGCAATTAGGGATGGGCAATAAATGCAAATAGCCAATGACATCCTCACTCCATGAATGAATAAAACAAACAAAAGAAACATCTCTCTAAAATCATAGAATCCCTACATTGTGGAAACAAGCCCTTCTGCCCAACAAGTCCACACAAACCCATTCCCCTATAACTCACCTAATCTACACATCTCTGAACACTATGGGCAATTTAGCATGGCCAAACCACCCAGCCTGCACATCTTTGGTCTGTGGGAGGAAACCCACACAGACATGGGGAGAACATGAAAACTCCACACAGACAGTCACCCAAGGTTGGAATTGAACCCGGGTCCGCGGTCCTGTGAGGCAGCAGTGCTAACCACTGTGCCACCGTGCCGCCCATTAGATGTAGAGTCCCAACTCTTTGCTATCTTTAAGGTGCTTTAAATTGTGAATCAAATCTTGTGGCACACAATCCAAAGCCTTATATTAATCTAACATGAGAGCAGACCAACGCATACACACAGTATTTTGTCAGCCCCACTAAGGTCTTGTTCAAAAATGGTACATTTTGTTTTATAGTAGTCATCCTATAACTGCATTCTATACAGTGTGGCTATTCCTTTTTGGCATTGATCTGAACATTTAAAGACATATGAATGGAAGGTCCTAGTCATTACAGTGTAATTGAGTAAACTAGTCTGGCATTTGTTACAGAAACTAAAATAATCACATATTACTACTAACATTAGCTAAGAGCCAATTGTCAACTATAGATCAGTGGTAGCACTCCCATCTTTGAGTTGTTGGGTCAAGCCCTACTCTACAGACTTGAATATAAAATCTCGGTGCTGAAAGGGTGGATAAATATCTTGTGACACTCCTTCAAAGAAAGGTACAGTTTCCCAGGTGTCCTGAGCTATTGTTTCTCCTTCAAGCAATATCACTCAAACAGATTTAACTAGGCGTTATTGCAATGCTATTTACAGAAGCTTGCTCTGCATAAACTGGCTACCATATTTTCGACATTACAACATTTCAGAAGCACTTCAGGTAGCACCTTGCAATGCCCTGAGGTCTTGTAATGTCTTATATAAATGCAGCTCTTTCTGACATTTTCTTTATTAAAGCCAACTGAAATCACTTGGTGATGAAAGCATAACATTGCATTTTGATTGTATTTGTGTACCGTTTGTATTGTTGCCATTGTGACTAAGCACTAATCATTTTAACACCACCTTTTCAAGCTCTGCTGCAAGATTCAGAACTCATAATTTAGCCTGGTCCTTCAGAGCAAAGACAAAAGATCCCATGGCACTATTTGAAGTATAGGGATTTTGTCCAGTACCCTGAAAACATTTTTTGCTCAACTAATACATCAAAAGCTACGTATCAACATGTCTTACAACAAAAACAAAAGGACTGTGGATACGAAGATGACAATAGAAATTGCTGGAAACGTTCAAAGGGTCTGGCAGCATCTGTGGAGAGAAATCAGAGTTAACTGTTCGGGTCAAGTGACCTTTCCTCAGACCTGGAATCCATCGAGAGAAATGGTTTTTCCACACCTACTCTATAAAATTTCCAGCATTCTGCCTAAGCATTTCTCTTGTACTATGGCTACAGTGTTTGATAGATTTAAAGGAGTTCACTGTGTGACGTGGTTTAAAGTATTTTTGTCTGATCTGATCAAGGTTTATCTAAGTGCAAATGTGTTGCCCTTATGAGCCTAGCATATGTAAGATGGATCAAACTTTGAGTGGCAAACTGTACCTCGACTAGGTAGCTGTGCAAGAGTCAGCAAATGATGCTTCTTTCACCCAAGTGTCCATTAATGTTCTTACCAAGGACGAACTATTGAAAATGTTGAATTTTATAAGAAATTATTTTAAAGACAATATTTTAAACCCTATTGAAAGAAAAGCAATTGAGTTGTGGGTTTTAACTTGATGACAGGGTTTTAAAAATTCCTTAAAATTTCTGCCTCAGTGTAGATGTGTAAAATTTGAGAAGCCTATTCAGTGTGCCCTTGTCATCTTTCTATGCTGCATCCATGTACAGAAGAAAGATGAGTTGCATTAAAATGTAGCAAAGATTACTGAAAATGTTTGTATCAGTCGAATCAAAAAAATTGCAAGTTGAAATCCTGTTCTGAGACAGAATGAATCATATAGGTTGACACTTCATAATACTTGAGTAATATTGCATTGAGTTATTAAAAGAAATAAGTGAAATGGCAAATGTATTAGTCATAATGCACTCTAGAATCAAGAATTGTGCCTATTGATTGGAAAGTTGCAAATGTCATTCTATTATTCACGAAGAGAAAAACCCATAACTATAGATTGTCAGTTTAGTGTGAATTGTAGGAAGATTACTAGGAGCTGTTATGGCGACAGTGTGACAAGGCGCTTCAGTGTGTATAGTACAGTCAGAATGTTAACATGAGTTTGTACTGGGTGAGCCATGTCTGACAAATTCATTACACTGTTTTCAAGAAGTTTATAAATGTTGTTGATATGAATTTGCAAAAAGAAATTGATACAGTCCATTACAAAGAGTTTTCAGAAAGAAATGGAAGTACGTGGCATTGGATGCAACCTTGTGATATGGGTTGATGATTGGTTAGACAGCGAACAGTGTAGGGGAAAATAGGAATTGGCAAGATATGACGTACAATGTTCTTGATCTGTTGTGGGCCTTTGGCTGTTTACCACATCTATTTATTACCTGGATGAAGGAAGAGTGTTATATATCCAAGTTTACAAATGGCTGCAGTTTAGGTTATATGGTAAGCGGGTAGATAGGAACTGGTAGTTCTGAAGAGGCAGAGATTGACTTTGGAAAGTCTATGTATGTTCATTGTGGGGAATGATGATGTGATCCACTGAAGACTAATGGAACGTTGACTTATTAGGTAAAGATTAATAACCGGATAGCAGCAAATGGATTTTGGCATTTCATGCACACCAATCGATAGAGATTGGTACACAGATGTTAAAAAGTAGTTAACAAGCCTGATGGCTGGCTACTACCACACTCCGCATCGGGCCCGCCGCAGCCGCGCTCGGCGCCAGCTGCTGTCCGCTAGTCATTGGTGTCCCCACTTTGGAGACCGGGGCTAAGCGTCAGAGGCTGAGAGTCTGAGAAGACAAAAGAGGAGAAGAAAACCACAGAAGGGAGGAAAAGAAGGGAAGAAAATGAACGGGAGGATGGGATGAACTCCGGCTGGAACATTCTACTCTGCTGCTCTCTTACTGGAAGACAAAAGGGCTGCATAGTAATCTCTGGATTACTCCCAGTGCCGTGTGCTAGTGAGAGTAGGAATAGGAGGATAGGACAGGTGAATACATGGCTGACAAGCTGGTGCAGGGGACAGGCATTCAGATTTAAAGATCATTGGGATTTCTTTTCTTCTGGGGCAGAAGTGACCTGTATACAGGGATGTGCAGCGCCTGAACTGGAGGGGGACCAATACCCTGGTGGGGAGATTTGCTATAGCTGCTTGGGAAGGTTTAAACTAGTCTGGCAGGGTGTTGGAACCCTAAGCAGTAGTGAGATAAGAGACAACAAGGTGCAGGACTGGATGAACACAGCAGGCCAAGCAGCATCATAGGAGCAGAGAGGCTGACGTTTCGGGACCCCACCACCAAAGACATCTTTCCCTCCCCACCCTTATCTGCTTTCCGGAGGGACAACTCTCTCCGTGACTCCCTTGTCCGCTCCACACTCCCCTCCAGCTCCACCACACCCGGCACTTTTCCCTGCAACCGCAGGAAGTGCTACACCTGCCCCCATACCTCCTCCCTCACCCCCATCCCAGGCCCCAAGAAGACTTTCCACATCAAGCAGATGTTCACCTGCACATCTGCCAATGTGGTATACTGCATCCGCTGTACCCGGTGTGGCTACCTCTACATCGGGGAAACCAAGCGGAGACTCGGGGACCGCTTTGCAGAACACCTACGCTCGGTTCGCAACAAACAACTGCACCTCCCAGTCGCGAACCATTTCAACTCCCCCTCCCATTCCTCAGACGACATGTCCATCCTTGGCCACAACGATGCCACCCGAAGGTTGCAGGAACAGCAACTCATATTCCGCTTGGGAACCCTGCAGCCCAATGGTATCAATGTGGATTTCACAAGTTTCAAAATCTCCCCTCCCCCCACCGCATCCCAAAACCAGTCCAGCTCGTCCCTGCCTCCCTAACCTGTTCTTCCTCCCACCTATCCCCTCCCCCCACCTCAAGCCGCACCTCCATCTCCTACCGACCAACCTCATCCCGCCCTCTTGACCTGTCCGTCCTCCCTGGACTGACCTATCCCCTTCCTAACTCCCTACCTACACTCACCTTTCCTGGCTCCATCCCCGCCCCTTCGACCTGTTTGTTTCCTCTCCACCTATCCTCTCCTCTATCCCTCTTCTATCCGCCTCCCACTCTCTCCCTATTTATTTCAAAACCCCCTTCCCCTCCCCCTTTTCTGATGAAGGGTCTAGGCCCGAAACGTCAGCCTTTCTGCTCCTATGATGCTGCTTGGCCTGCTGTGTTCATCCAGCCCTGCACCTTGTTGTCTCGGATTCTCCAGCATCTGCAGTTCCTACTATCTCTGGTGAGATAAGAGAGTAGTTCGAGACTGGTGCAGAAGTTAGAGAGCAAATTACATAGATAAGACAGGCAAAATCATTGGCAGGGAATGAGGGAAGACTGTTGTAAAGTTTTCTGAGGTAAAACACATGATTATGTTTTATATTATTAATTCAGTCATGTGATGAGGGCTTCGCTGGCTGGGTCAGCATTTGTTATCCAACCCAGTCATAGACTGCTTCAGTATCAGAGGAGAACTGTTATGGGACTGTAATTTAAATCCTTTTCACTATGTTGTAACTACCTCTGTAAGTAATGCTTATGCTTTCCTTTAATTCTCTTTGTGTAAGACCATTTTTTTTTTCAACTGTGAGATTTGTATCTAGGTACTTGTATCTAAGATGGCGCCATTAAAAGGCAACCATTGTAAAAACGTTTCACTGTACTCCTATACTTCTTTATTGTGTTACATGTGACAGGAAAGGGTATTCTATTCCATTCCACACTATTCTATCTAAGTATTGTGTCTATAAAAGCAATGCAGAGGCTGGGAATTCTGCAGAAAATAACTCTTGTCCTATCTCCTCAATGCCTACCCACCATCTATAAGGCACAAATCAAGAGTATGTTAGAGTACTGTTCAATTACCTGGCAGAATGCAGTTCTAACAAAGTTCCGACTCAAAGCTCAACATCATTCAGGAAAAAGCAGACCGTATTTGTTCAGCACCACATTCACTGCCTTCACCATTTGCTGTCTCCACCATTGGCACACGTTAACAGCAGTGTATATTATCAAAAAGCATGGCACTAACTCAGCATTTCTCCTTGGACAGAATCTTCCAACCCTATGACCTCTGCCACCAAGAAGGACAGGGGCATCATCTTCAAGACACTCACCATCCTGACTTGGAGCTATGTCATCATTGTTCCTTCAGTATCGCCGGGTCAAAATTCTAGAACTCCTTAATGGCATTGTGGGTGTACCTATACCCATGAATGGTGGCTGTTCAAGAAGGAGGCTCACCTTGCCAAGGACAATTTGACATTGACAATAAATGGTGATATTGCCAGGAATACACTCAATTACAAAAAATATAGTTCAATATTTCATATTTTGAAACAATGGATAGTTTTGTTTTGAACTGACTTTGCTTTTCTACCTCCACAAATGATGCTTATTCACCAGCTGAAAGAGTAAGGTGAATTGAAATAATCATGTTATGAATTCAGGCATTTGATAACTCTCTATAAAAGCATGGAGATTTTTTTGACAATTGTTTTTGATTCTGAATCCTAGCAGATCATTAGAAGATAGCTTGCTGGAGCAGCCGTGTAGTGATATTTCTCACAGACAGCCTGAACTTCAGCAGGCAGCTGTGCAATTCCAAGAAAACCTGCAAGGTGATATGGATCTCAAGGAAGAATTCCTGCTTCTTCAGCACAGGTAAGCACCATGAGATTTGTAAAGAGACTGAAGGCATGAGCACAAGTTAATAGCTGAAACTTTTTTTTGCTTTTGTTCAGATACTCGCAGCATCTGCACATCAGTAAATCACTGAATCATACATTATAAAAGAGAGCCATTTTTCCAATCTTGTCTATGTTGACTGTGAAAGATCTACTCAATTTGTCCCATTCCCCTTCTCTTTCCAAGAGCTATAAAAATTCTTGCTTTTCAAGTATATTGTGCTTCGATATTCACTTCTTAGCCTTGTCAGACCAAATCATGAAAGACCATCAACCATACCTACTGAGCGTTCCTAGTTTTTATATTCTGGTTTTAAGATTCACAGCATCTGCAGTGTTCTGCTTTTGAATGAGTGAATTTGATATGCCCCTCATTCGTTTTGTTTGCTTGGGATGTTGGGCATGTGCACTGCTTTAAATACTGGCACAGTTCCCTCTTTTTTTTTGTCATTGATATTGCTGGTGTTAACATGGCTTTGGGCCACATTGTATATTCCTAAACTATTTGCAACTTTTTTGGATATTGATATCCTCCCGTGTTTCTTTTCATAATCGCTATTTGTAGCTCTTGTTGTTTGCTTTGTCACCCTTTGCATCTTTTTCCTTCATCACGATCTGTGCTTTCTTTTTTATATTTTTTGCATTATATGTTTTTCCTTTTAGTTTAATGTTGCCTCTCACACCTTCCGTTTCTATGTATGTCTTTTGTGGCACGTGGAACTGTTGCCCTTTAGCTGTATAAACTGCTCTGTATTCCATTAAATTCTTTTTTGAACATATTCTAGTGATAATCTTTCCATGAATAGATTTACTCCATTTACTGTGGGCTGTTAATGGCACTTTGTGTTGAAATCAGTTCTACCTACATCTAAAACCATTTTCACATTTCTTTCTTTCAAATAGCATGTTGAACTCATTCATATTATAATCACTGTTAGAAGATTACCCTACATACAATTTGGAACTAAACCTTTCTTATTTCTCTTTCCAAAACCTAACCTAGCTTGCTCTCTTGTTCAGAAAACTGGTCAAGGAAGAATGTCAAAATGTACTACCTTTCTAAGTTGTGTCTCATTCTTCCAATCTATATGGAAATTAAAATCCCTTATTACAACTATTTTGTTTTTTGCAAGTTGTTTCTTTCTGCATTTATACAATATACCACTTCACAGCTGCTACTAGGACACCTATGCCAACACCACTACAGTGCTGCTTTCTTTTTTATTTCTTAATTCTACCTATAAAGTCTGTATCTGCTCACTTCATTGCATATCCTTCTATCAAAATTATTTCATCTGTAATCACTTCTGCTACCCCCACCCCCAGTCTCCCGGCCTTTTCCTGTTTTCCTTCTAAACTTAATCTGTATATTTTGTTCTCCGTCCTGACTGTCATACAGCATGTATGATTACCATTTCATTCATTTGTTCTAAGTTCAATTTCCACATGCAGTTCACTCATTTGTTGCTTAATGTATTTATATAAGGTGTTCTTGATTGGACCACGGGTGGCACGGTGGCTCAGTGGTTAACATTGCTACCTCACAGCGCCAGGAACCCGGGTTCAATTCTAGCCTCCAGTGACTGTAGTGTGGAGTTTGCACATTCTCCCCGTGTCTTTGCGGGTTTCCTCCAGGTGCTCTGGTTTCCTCCCACAGTCCGAAGATGTGCAGGTTAGGTGGATTGGCCATGCTAAATTGCCTGTGGTGTCCAGGGATGTGTAGGTTAGGTGGATTAGCCATTGGAAATACAGGGTTGCAGAGATAAGTTGGGGTGGGTGGTCTGGGTGGGATGCTCTTCGGCGAGTCAGTGTGGTCTTGTTGGGCCGAATGGCCTGTTTCCACACTGTAGCGATTCTTCAACTTAATTGTTTTATACACACGTTTCATATTTCTTTGTCCTCGCTTCACTGCTTTACATTTTTTAGTTTTCCCGTGGTGCCGAAAGTACTGACTATAACTTTTGTTTTAGTTTGTTTCCAATCTAGTACCTCTACAAGTATAACTTTCTAAACTGACCTCTACCTGCTAGTCCTTGTGACCGACTTGTTTATTAGATGGTCCCAGCCTGTTTCAGATAGTTCAAATGGGTTCTGTACTGTTTCTTCCTGTTCTACTACCAATCCTTCCCTTTAATCTGCTTATACCCTGTATCAGTTAGCACAATAACCAACCAGCCAATGAGTTTTTAGCTCCTAGCTCCCAGCACTCAGCAACAGGACCTGTTTGTGTCCACTCCTCCCAATACTTTAAATTTCAACATGGACCTTGGCAACTCAATCCTCCCTTTTTCATTCCAAGTTCTTCAGTCAATGCTAATTTGCGACCACTGAGTCTCTCAAGTCCTACTTTCTGTATTTTTCACCAACAGTGGAATAAAACAATATAAGATTCTAATCAAACTGTCCAGTATTACCTCACTTCACTCTCAGGGTTGTAAAAACAGATAGAAAGCTTTGTTATTATACTTCCAGATTTCATTAGTGCTGTGTATAATGCAAGATACTTAAGCCGTCTGTTTCTTATGGAAGTTAACGGAGTGAGTGACAACTCTGAACCCGAGTACTTAGCACCAATATCCATTGCTTTTTCAAAATTGTAACTCTGGTTCTCAGAACCATTAGATACTACTGCTGTAATAAAACAGAGAACTACAGATGCTGAAGATCTGAACCAAAAACACACATTGTTGAAGAAACTCAGCAGATCTGGCAGCATCTGTGGAGACAAAGCAGAGAGAATGTTTCGAGCCCGGTCACCCTTCTTCAGAGCCGATAGCAGTTAGGAGAAGGTGCTTTATAATTGCTGAAGGTAGTGGGTAAGAGGAAGGAGGGGGAAAGGAGTAAGTGGACAGGTGGAGGTGGAGCCCAGAGAGCGCGAGAGACTGGCAAATAAAGGGATGGATAATGGTAAACTGAGAAAAACTGATAATGGTGACCAAATGTAGATGAAAATTGGTTGGCTGTACTGGAAATAGCCTACGTCATAGCAGGACCTGGGGTGTAGGGGTGGGTAAAGGACTTGACAAGAGGTTTATAAGTTCAAAAATTATTGTACGCTATATTGAGTCATGAAGTCTCCAGGGTCTCCAAATGGAAAATGACTTGCTGTTCTCCCGTCTCGTACCGAGCTTTGCTGGAGCACTGCAGCAGGCCTGAGACACCAGTGTTGGCCAGGGAACATGGTGGTATGTTGAAGTGGCATGCAACTGGAAGCTTGGTCATTTTTGTGGACAGAACATAGGAGTTCCACAAAGCAGTTGTTGAGGCTGTGTTTCATCTTCCCAAGTCTAGAGTATGCCACATTGTGAGCTGCAGGTAAAATAGACTTGATTGAGAAGGTGTGTCTGGAGCCATGAATGGTGAGGAGGAAGGAGGTAAATGGACAAGTGCTACATCCTGCAGTTGCAGGAGATGATTGGAGTGGAAGGGGTGTGAACCAACGTATCTTGGAGAGAATGGTCCCTGCAGAAGGCTGACAAAGGAGTGAGGGGAATATGTGTCTGATGGTGCCATCTGTTGGTGGTGATGGAAATGGTGACCTATGACCCTTTAGGTGCGGATGCTGATGTGGTGAGAAAAGGAAGACCATGGGGACCCTATTGTTGTGTGGAAGGGGAGAGATGAGGACAGAAACGCAGGAAATGGGTTGGACACAGCTCAGGGCCCTGTCAACCATGATGACTTGGTTGAGGAGAAAGGTGGATATTTCTGAGGTCCCCTTGTGGAAGGTGACATCACAACAGATGCCACCCTTGTCAGTATTTCACAGGGACCTTTTGCTTTGGGACACTCTGGTCCACTCCCCCTCCATTCCCAGCACCTCCTCACACCCCATGGCACCTTCCTTTTACCTCCTTCCTCTTCACTGTCCAAGGCCCCAGATGCACCTTCCAGGTGAAGCAGTGATCTACTGTATTTGCTCCTCAAAACGTGATCTCCTCACACTGTGGATACGAGATTCTGGGTGATTGATTCGCGGAATACCTTTGTTCTGTCCTCAGAAATGACCCATCAGTTGCTTGTTACTTCAACATACCACCATGTTCCACGGCCAGTATCTCTGTCACAGGCTTATTACAGTGCTCCAACGAGTCTCAGTGTAAGCTGAAAGACCAATATCTCACTTTCAAGATGTGGACCCTGAAGACTTCAGAATTTAATATCAGGTTCAATAATTTTGGAACTTGAACACCTCCTTCCATGTTGTCTACCCACCCCAAACCTCAGACATTACGTGGGCTGTTTTCAGCACAGCCAACCCATTTTCATCTACTTATGGCTGGCATTATCTCTTTGTTTCTCTCTCTCTCGTTCTCACTCTCTCTTGCTCTCTCGTTTCATCTTCATCTATCCACCTACTCTGTCATTTTCTCTCTTTTTCTCTCTTCTGTTGGTCCCTCTCCCCGTTTCCCACACTCCCCCCCACCCTCTCTCTGTATGTCTCTCTCTATGTCTCTCTCTCCCTGTCTTCCTCCTCCCCCAACCCCTCTAACTATGTCTCTGTGACTCTGTCAGTCACTCTCACGCACACGTCTAGCCAACCCTAATCTTCAGCATATACACCATCTTTTCCAAGCTAATATCAGCTCTGAAAGAAGGGTCACTGGACTCAAAACTTTAACTCTGCTCTCTCTGCCAGACATGCTGAGTCTCTCCAGTAGTTTCTGTTTTTGTTTTAAATTCTATTGTTGGTCTGGCTGAATAGAGTACTGTAAATTTTAGAGGAAAAGCAGTTAGGTTAATCATAGCACAGGTAGTTTCTTGATACGTATTTTGAAAAAGGACACTTTTATCAGTTTAGATTCATCGAATGACCGCTGTACATTTCTGTCTGGAGAAATTTGCAAAAAAGGTGAAGACCTGAAACAAATGGAAGAGGAGCACAGTAAATGCAAAATGGACATTAAAAAGGTACAGAATGAATATTAGACACTGCAGTGCCTCCCTTCTTCTTTAGTTGCATTAATTGCTAATTCTTTTTATTTAGTTGGTTAGAGTAAATCACTTGCTTTTATGCTATATAATTCCCCAGTTTCTGTTTATTACCTTGCTAACAACCATTTCAGAAATTGGCATTTCTCCTTTCATTGCTATCACTTTACTGTTACGCCTGTCCTCAACTCTGAGAAGCCTCCCTTCTGTTGATGGCATGTACACCTTGATGCCCTGTGACACCCAGTTTAGGTTCCACCAGGGCCACTCAGTTCCTGACGTCATTACAGCCTTGGCCTTAACGTGGATAAAAGAGCTAAATTCCTGAGGTGAGAGTGACAGCCCTTGATGTCAAAGCCACATTCGACCCACATTCAGTCGAATGTGACATCAAGGAGCCATGGCAAAACTGAAATCAATGGGTATCGGGGGGACAAACTCTCTGTTGGTTGGAGTCATACCTGGCATGTAGGAAGATGTTTGTGGTTGTTGGAGGTAAGTCATCTCAGCTCCAGGACATCTCTGCAGGTGTTCTTCAGAGTAGTGTCCTAGTCCCAACTTGCTTCATCAACTGCTTAGTCAATGATGTTACCTCCATCGTAAGGTCAGAGGTGGGGCTGTTCGCTGATGATTGTCCAACGTTCAGCACCTCCTCAGATACTGAAGCAGTCCATGTTTAAATGCAACAAGATCTGGATAATTTCCAGGTATGGGCTGACAAGTGGTAAGTAACATCCATGCCACACAAATGCCAAGTAGTGATCATCTCCAATTTAAAAAAAAATCTAACCACCACCCTTTGACATTCAATGGTGTTACCATTACTGAATCCCCCACCATCAACATCCTTGGGGTTACCATTAAGCAAAAGTTCATTTGGACTTGCCACATAAACACAGTGGGTACAAGAACAGGTCAGAGGTTGGAATGATGCAGCAAGTATCTCACCTTCTGACTCCCCAGAGCCTATCCGCCATCTACAAGGCAAAAGTTAGGAGTCTGAAGGTATGTTTCCCTCTTGCCTGGATGGATGCAGCTCCAACAGCACTTAAGAAGCTTGACATCATCCAAGACAAAGCAGCCCGCTTGATTGGCTCCATGTCCACAAGCATCCATTCCTTCTACCACAGACACACAGTAACACCAGTGTGTACCATCAACAAGATGCACTGTAGAAATTCACCAAAACTCCTTAGACAGCACTTTCCAAACCTGTGACCACTTTCATCTAGAGGAATAAGGGCAGCAGATACATGGAAATACCACCACCTGCAGGTTCCATTCCAAGCCACTCACAATCCTAACTTCGAAGTATAATGCCATTCTTTCACTGTCGTAAGTTCAGACTCCTGGAATTCTCTCCCTAAGGGCATTAAGAGTCTATCTACAACACTTGGACTGCAGCAGTTCAAGAAGGCAGCTCACCACTACTTTATCAAGGACATCTAGGGATGGACAATAAATGCTGGCCAGCCAGCGATGTCCCATGAATGAATTAAAAAAAAAAAATCACTTTATCCTGGTACTGCTTAATGCAAGTCACAATACAATTTTAGAGTTTTTAGTTTATTCAAGTGACATTGTAATGGCTTGAGATCCAAATTCAGAGTTGCCCTTATCTGAAACTCTGTCGACTGATTTTATTCCTTTTGCTCCTGAAAGCTGTGACAATCAGCTTTGGCATGAATAGAACGAATTGGACCTTGAGGGGCTGAATGGCTTACTTCTGATCCTACATTTAACAGACTGTGGTATCTCCTGAATAATCCTGCGCATTGGAAACAACAATCTAATTTTAGAGTGGGGAGGGAGGTATTACAGTTTGTCTAATCACATCAGATTCCAGCAGGACTCAGCGAAATTGGATTAGGTGCAGTAACACTGTCAAATTTCCTCCTCTCCTACAGCTCTAGATGCTAAAGCTAATCTCTCAGCTACCTCGATATGATCAGCTAACAGTTTAGACCATGTAATTGATCCTGCATTAATTCCACCCTACCTTACTCTGCACCAAAAGTATGACAAGCAGTCTGCTTCCAGATGACTAACATTGACATTCTTTAACCATCTTCTCACTGGTGCCTGATGTGAAATTGGAATGACCTTTTTCTGTATTTTCTTCACTATGAGTAAAAACGTTCAGCCTTCACATCTTGATTATGCCTCTCACCCACATCAGGAGCTTGCTACGTTAATAAATAACAGCTGGGGAACTTTGTAGTCCAGTTTATTTGAGACACTAGCAAAGTGGCAGCATTTGGGTGTAATGATTTTATCTTAGATTGTTTTATCTGCTTGTGCGATGTGGGTTTCACTGGCTGGGACAGTAATTATTACCTATCCCTAATTTGTTTGGAGAAAGTGGTAGTGAACTGCCGTCTTGAACTACTCTTGGGCGTAGGGACAGTGCTGTTCAGAATTGAGTTCCAAAATTTTGACGCAGCAACAATAAAAGAGCAGCAATAATCGTTCAGAGTCAAGTTGGTGAGAAGCTTTGGAAGGGAACCTGCGGATGATGGTGTTCCCATGTGTCTGCTGACCTTGTCCTTCCACGTGCTAAAGGTCACATGTTTGAAGGATGAATTGACAGTCCACAACAAGGCACAATTTGTGGTTTGTGAGTATATTGCAGCACATCATGGTTGACGTTCGTCCAAGCAAATTTTGACCATGTTACCACAAACTCATTTGCATATGTCCTAAGAAAATCTGCCATACAATCGTAGAATCATTCAGCACAGAACCGGCCCTTCAGCTCACTGTCTATGCCGGCCAACAAACAACAAACTACACTAGTCCCATTTACCTGCACTTGGTCCATAGCCTACTATGCCCTGTCATTGAAGTACTTATCCAACTGCTTCTTAAATATTGTGAGAGTACCTGCTTCCCTACCCCCTCAGGCAGCACATTCCATATTTCTGGGTGAGTTTTTTTTTTCTCTGACGTCCTGTAAATCACTTACTTCTCACCTTAAACCTCTGGTTTTAGACACGTCTGCCATGGGGAAGAAATTCTCATGATCCAGTCTGTCTGTGCTTCTCATAATTTGGTATACCTCAATCGGACAACGCCTCAGCCTCCTTGCTCTGAGGAAAATGAATCCACCATCCCGTCATAACTAAGATTTTTCATTCCAGTCAACATCCTGGTGAATATCCTCTGCAGTGTCTCCAGTATAATCATCTCCTTTGCTTTATAAAGTGTGAAAATAGACGATAAGTATTCCTTTAAGACCTCACCCACGTCCACTGGCCCTACGCACAGGTTCTCATTTGGTCTTCCAATAGGTCTGACTCTTTGCCTGGTAATCCTGTTACTCTTAATATACTGATAAAACACCTTGGGATTTTCCTTGATCCTATCTGCCAAAGCTATTTAGAGGCTCCTCTTTGTCCTCCTAATTTCCTTTTTAAGCAACCTTCTATCCTCTCTGTACTTTGAAGGGTCTCCCCTGTTTTTAATGCACTGTACTGAACATACACTTCCTTCTTTGTCTTCATCAACTTTCAATGTCCCTCGACATTCAGGTTTACTGGACTTGCTTCCCTTGCCCTTCACTCTTAGAGAAACATGCTGGTCCTGAATTCTGATTTTATTATTTTTAAAAGACTCTTGCTTTCCAAATGTAGACTCCTTGCAAGTTGCTGTTCTTTGTCTATGTTTGCCAGATCCTGATATTAAAATTGCCTTCCCCCAATTCAGATACTTAACTTCTGCACTATCCTCCTCCCTTTCCATAGTGGCTTTGAAACTTACAGACTTATGATCACTATTTCAAAATGCTCGCCCACTGAAGCTTCGACCACTGGAGTGGCTTCATTCCCCAGGATTAGGTCTAGCACTGCCCCATCTCTAGTCGTACAGGCACAAAAAAGCTTTACTGGATGCTCTTTAAAAATTCCACCCTGTCTAATCCGTTAATGTACTAAGGCGCTCCTAGTTAACATTAGCAAAGCTGAAGTCCCTTACAAATATATCCCTGTTTCCCTCACACTTTCCTGTGATTTGCCTTTCTCTGATCCAATTTTGCAGGACAGCATTTTAATGCATAAATTTTTTTCAAACATTGTTTAAAAAATCTGCAAAATAAACTTGAGTGATTAACTTATGAGATTTGATTAATATTAAATAGATTTATCACAAGAATATTAGTCAGTCCTTCTGTCAGTCCTTGGTTGAGTTGAAATATTGAAAAACACTTCCATTGCTTCTGTAAATTGTAATACAATAAATTATTTCTTAGCAATTTAAAATATATATTTAAATGCTTTTAAAGGTTGCCTAGTTGTATCTTTGTGTCTGCTCCGACATCTGATCCTCCACCAGAAACACCCACACAAAATGAAGCTCTTAAAACAATCACAGATGACAGAAAGTTGACTGATGACTAATTCAATCAGAAGCTTCATTTATGAGATGTGGTTATCACTGGTAAGGCCTACATGTTTTGCCCATCCCTAATTACCCTCAAGAAGGTAGTAGTGAGCTGTTGTCTTGAAGGCAACCAAGTGGTTTGACATTTTCAGGAGCAATTGAGAGTCTGACACTGGAGTTACATGATTAAAGATGGCAGATGAAACAGCTGAAGGTGAATGCAGCCCAACCATCTTCCACTGTTTCATCAATGAACTTCCCTCTATCATATAAGTTTCACGTGTCAGAATTCAAATTCAAATTCCATTTTAATTTTATTCTTTTGAGACTTTAATAAATAAGGCAATAGGAGACAATCAGGTGCAGTAAATCAGCTTTGTTACCATTACTGATCTGAGCTTTCTGGTCCAGAGGCACGTGGTTGAATATAACTTCTTCAGCTGCTGATGTGGGATTTGAATTGACGTCTCTGGACCATTACTCCAGGTTGCTAGATCACTACTGCAAACGTTACTGTATACTACATGACTGGGTATAATTAATGGAAGCGTGCTGTGATGATTAATTTAATCTGAGGCACAACCACTTTTATGCGGAGGGCTGGCTGTCTTCAACAATATTTTCTTAAACTAGTGCAAAAGGCTGTGAAAATTTGATTTGCACTGGGATAATTTGTGTTGAAGTTCAGTGTTTTTTGGGATTAATTTGACTGATTTTAGATGGTTTGAATTAATGCAAATTGCACAGTCCGGTTGAAATTCCAGGGATTTAAGTGAAGCTGTTCAACAAGAAACTTGGTTTCTTCATTTTTCTTTTTCTGATTGTTTTAAAACTCTGTGTCCCTCCAGGTTAGAAATGGAAAACTCATTGAATTCCATTGGCCACCATATATATAAATGTCCAACATGCAAGGGAAAACAAAAAAATAATGGCACAAAGTTGTTTAGTTTGTTGTAGAAGCCATCAATTCACTGGTCCATTATGAGTGGTTACATCATTATGGCATGATTGAGAACAGCTTCAGTCAGTGTTGAGAGTGCATTGGGAGGATATCTGACCGCGGGAGCATCAGGAAGAGCTGATGGAGTTCCTATAATGAATGCTCTGAGTAGACTTTGAATTCAGTCTTTTCTTTTGGTAACAGCTTCGGGATCAGTTGAGTTCTCTTGAACAGCAACGCCACTCTGAACTGAAGGGAATGAAATTGGAGATTGCCCAATTGACCACTGAACTGCACCAGCGTGACTTAACGATTGCGACTATGAGTGCAGCCACCTCCAACATGGAACGACAGCTTCGGATTGAATTAGATAAAACTGATAAGAAAGTACAAGAAGTTAAGGTATTTAGACGAACTCTCAATTTGTTTTGTTTTACCAGTTGCATGATTCTTATAGATTTGACTAGGAAGTTCCACTGATCGAAGTGAAGCATATAAGTGCCAGAGAGTGAGATATAAATGGGGATAGGGTCCTACTCCAACAATACAATCCTCGCAGATATCTGCACTGCCTCAATATTGGCCTCCCTTGCATCCTAAGTTTTGATTGCTGTGCCGTTAGTTGCTGGCCATTCAGCTACTGAGGCCCTCAGCTCTGATAATATTCCTTGTCTAGCTCTTGAGTCATTGAGTTACACAGCACAGAAATGGATGCTTCAGTCCAATTAATCCACATCAACCATGTTCCCAAACCAGTCCCACTTGCCTGCATTTGGCCTGTATCCCCCAGGGTGACCGGAACTGCCAGGTGGGTGGGTTATGTTATCCCACTTTAATAGAGATTGGAATTTAAGAAGAAACAGCAAAAAGCAAACTTTACGGTCTTGATTGTTCATATCTAAGAGGGTAATTTTGATAATTAGGGATTGAGAGTGAACTGAGGGATACTGAAAGGTTTTACAGGTGACAATACGTTGGTCCAGACCTTGTGACCTAAGATGAACGTTTGGATCTTGCGAAAGATCTGAAGCATGGACTTTGATGGGAATTATCCATGAATTTTAAACTTTTTAATGGGCAGTTTCCCTTCTACACGTGACTCTCCACAGGAACCTGTAACTCTGGGCTAGAGCCAAAGACTTTTGCCAGTTCTGACACCTACTTGAATAGCTATCCAGGAAAAGATATTAAGTATGACATCTAGTCTAACTCCTGTGTGATTAAAGAGCTGACTTCCCGACCACTGACACACATACTCTATCTCTCCAAAATCTTAGAATCGTACAGCATGGAAACATACCCTTCAGTCCATAATGACAGGTTTTCCAAACTAATCTAGTCACACTTACCTGTGTTTGGCCCATATCCCTCTGAACCTTTCCGATTCATGTACCTGCCTGAACGTCTTTTTAAATGTTGTAACTGTTCCTGTATCTACCACTTCCTTTGGCTGCTCATTCTGCATATGAACCACCCTCTGTGTGAAAACATTGGTCCTCAGGTCCCTTTTTCAAATCTTTCTCTTCTCACTTTAAAAATATGTCCGCTAGTTTTGAACTCTCTCACCCTAGGGAAAAGACCTTTGCTATTCGCCTTATCTATGCCCTTCATGATTTTATAAACCTCTATAAGGTCTTCCCTCAACCTCCTACACTCCAGTGAAAAATGTCCCAGTCTATCCTGTCTATTTTTATAACTAAAATCCTTCATTTCCTAGCAACGTTCTTTTCTGAACCCTCTCCAATTTAATAACACCCGTCCTGTATAACGTCAACATGACGTCCCAACTCCTATGCTCAGTGATGTAAGCAATGAAAGCAAGTGCGCTAAATGTCTTCTTAACCATCCTGTCTACCTGTGTTGCAATTTTCAAGGAACCATGTGCCTGATCCCCTAGGTCTCCCTGTCATACAACACTACCCAGGGCCCTACCATTAACAGTATAAGTCCTGCCCTTGTTTGTTTTACCAAAATGCAGTTAATTCCATCTGCCGCTCCTCAGTCCACTGTCCCAATTGATCGAGATCCCTTTGTAATTTTACTTAACATTCTTCACTGTCAACTATACCTAAAAGAGATAGATGTAAGGTAGGGGCTGAAAATACTTTTGATGTACTGGCATGGACAGTAGTTACAACAGGACAAAGGGCCCTCCTCTAAGAAATTTGTTTCGTGTATTTAATCAGCAACAACATAAGTTTACATTATAGTTACAATATGAATATAATAAAGCATCCTAAGGTGCCTCACTGGAGCACTATAAAGTAAGGTATAATACTGAGCCAGAAAAGCTTGGTCAAAGAGGTAGGTTATAATGATTGTCACAAAGAAGAAAACCAGAGAAGTCCAAGGAGAGAATTTCAGCTCATGAGGACTGGTGATGCCATGTTGGTTGAACAGTAAAATTAGGGATGCACAGAGGAGTGCAGATATCTCGGAGCATTGCAGGGCTTGTGGAAATCTCAGTGATGGGGAGTGGGGAGGTCCAGTGTAGGTCAGTGAATGCAGGGTGATGGAGAAAAGGGACTTGGTGCAAAATAAGATGGCAGCAGAGCTTCTGATGACCTCTCGTTTAAACAGGGTAGGCTGCGTGTGAACATGAGGTCAGAAGTGTATCTGCAGATTAAATGAGACACTGATCTCAGTGGTTGCCAAGGAGAAGGATTGAGTTTTATATCCTCTGTCTTGGTTACTACTTTTGTGATTTGATAGAATATTTTGTTTGGTAATGCACCTGTACAGCACCTTGGGACTTTATGCTTCATTTAAGATGCTACGTAATTGCAAGCTAATGTGGTAAATATGAACATCTGAAGTCATGAAAACTTCTAAGCCTGTAGTATATTATGACCGTTAAGTAAAATTGTCAACCTCCTCCATGACTTCAATCTCACTTGCATGTAGGCAGTACATTTAGACCTTCTCCTCCTAAGCCTAGAAATGTATAATTGGCTACTCACGATATTGTAGAAAGTTGGTTCTTATTATGTTGTCATCCCTTTCCAGTCAGTTTGGATGCATTGTACTCTTCTGAAGATAGCAATTTCTGACTGGGAAGCAGTCCCATAGTCCGTGAATGTCTTCAGATCATTTATCAAAGAAACATCATAGCTGAGCTTGACACTATTGCTAGGTATCAACATTGAATGATTGTTTCTTTTTCCATCCAGCTACTGCTACTGCATTCACACAGAGCACAGATCAGACCCAAGAGCTGTTTGCTGCGTATAGTTTGGCTGGTTGCTTACTCACTTCTCAACCACCTCAGCCTCAGAAAAATGCAAGTGAAAATTTCAAGTAGGGGCCCATCATCAGAATTGATTTCCCTGGAAGTGATAAATCTAACTCCATTCTCCCAACTCTCATATTTAAATCACAGTCGCACATTTACTTTGTCATTTCACTTATCATTAAATACAAAGTTATTTCCCATCCTTTTTGTTTTTTGGATTGAGAAGCAATGAGTTGGGCTGAAGCAAACCATGAGAAAGTAATTTATGCTTGATCACAACCTGTTGCATTTCTCATCCATCCTACTACGGATTAGGGCAGAACAATACCATCACAAAACACAGCAAGTGGGAACATGAATCTTGCGCTACACTGTTCAGTCTGTGGCAGTAGACCTATTTTAGTTGATTCATTTAGTTATTTTGTTCATTGACAGTATGCTCCTTAGGAGAGTATTGATTTACCATGGATGTCCAGCATGAGGATTAGGGATAGAAGCTGGTGGTATTTATATTCGACATGTGCTGCTGTAGTCAGGTATTGTCTGATAGTTAGGTATCTTTATACAAAATATTTGCTTTTAGAAATATTCCATTACAAAGTTAAATGACCTAATTCATCATATATCCTGCACTTTGAATTGTAGAGAAATACATGACATTGCCATTGTGTATTATGTACTCCCCTAGTATTTGCCTAAACAGAGCAGATAGAGAGAACTTCCCATTTGTGGAAGGATTGAGAACAAGGGGAAAGGTATTGCATTTTGGTACAAGAAGTGGGACAGGACTTATATAATTAATGGTATGAACTTGGGTAGTGTTGCACAACAGAGGGACCTAGGTGTTCAGGTATATATTTCTTTGAAGTTTGTGTCATGTATAGACAGGGTGGTTAAAAAGGCATTTAGCACACTTGCCTTCATTGCTCAGTCCTTTGATTATAGGAGTTGGGAAGTCTTGTTGGGGTTGTATAGGAGATTGGTGAGGCCTCTTCTGGAGTACTGTGTCCACTTCTCATCGCCCTGTAATAGTAAGGATATTATTAAGCTAGAGAGGGTTCAGAAGAGATTTACCAGGGTGTTGGTGGGTATGGAAGGCTTGAATTAGACTGGGACTTATTTCACTGGAGTGTACGAGGTTGAGAGATAACAGAGAGGTTTATAAAATCATGAGGGGTGTAGTTAGGATTAGTGGTAGGTGTTTTTCCCTAAAATGGGGATTTCAAGATTAGGGAGTATATTTTTCAGGTGCAAGGAGAGAGATTGCATGTGGAATGAACGACCTGAGGAAGTGGTGGATGTGGACACAGTTACACTGTTTAAAAGACACTCAGATAAATACATGAATAACAAAGGTTTGGAGAGATATGGACAAGAAGCAGGAAGGGTGGAACTAATTTAGTTTGGGATTATGTTTGATATGACTGGTTGGACCGAAGGACCTATTTCCGTGCTGTTTGAATCTGTGACTCTATGACATGGATTTTAGGTAATTGGTAAAAGAAGGATCGGAGATATGAGGAGAAAGCTTTTTTTATTAAGCAAGTAGTTAAGGTCTGTAATGTGCTTCTCAGAATGTGGTAGAGGTTGTTTCAATTGAGGGGCTGTTCAGGTGGGAACTGGATTTTTATATGAAACTAAAGTTATGGGGAGAAGGGAAAGGAATGCCACTAGGTGCATTGCTCATTCACAGAGCCAGCACAGACACAATGGGCTGAATGGCTTCCTGCATTCTATTAAAAGAACAATGAATGTGGTGAGAGCATGTGTAAAGGCTCAGGGCAATGAGAAAAATGGATATCTAGTTGGCTGTGACTAGGGATAAATGATAATCATTCAGAGCATGTGACAGATGGAGCTCAGTTGGTTGTACTCTTACCTCAGAACCACTAGCTCCATGGTTGGAGTGCAGAAAAACCAAGGTTAGCACTCTATTACAAAACTGATGGAACGCTACACTGTTGAGAGTGCATCTCTGAGATGAGACCTCAAACAAAGACTCCATCGTTCTGTTCAGGTGGATTTCAAAGATCCCATTTACAAGAAGAAGAGTAAGGAAGTTCTGCCTGGTGTCTTGACCAATATCTATTCCTCAATCAGCATCATCAGAACAGATTATCTGATTATGATCACATTGTTAACCACATTCACAATAAAGAAAATGTTGGCAGAATGCAGACGTTAATCTGTGCTAGCAAAGCAAAAGAGTGGAGGATGAAAAGTGGGGTCTCGGAGGTCAGTGCTGAGACCACAGTTCACAATCTGTATCAACGACTTAGACTTGAAACGCAATTTTTAAATCTGCAGAAACATGAAATTGAGGGTTCTGGATTGCAACATATTACAAGAAGCCAATATTAAACTTTCGATGCAATTGGCAAATAAATGTCATCACCTTTAGTGTGAGTTATTACATTTTAATAAGATTAGTAAAATATTTCCATTACTTGGAAAATGTGAATCTAGATGAAGTGTAAAGTGATCTGGGATTACAAATGCTCAAATTGAACAACCATTTAATAACTCCATAAAATGCAATTGAAAATTAGGGTTTATTTCTACAGGGATAGAATTGACAAGTAGAAAGGTTATTGCTAAGCTCATTGAACCTTGGCGATACACAAGCAGAATCTGTAGATGCAGGAAGTCTGAAATATCATCAGAAAATACTGGAATACAGGTTATGTTGGGAGAGAAACAGAGTTAATGTTTCAGGTTGATCTTTTACCAGAAACTGGAAAGACTTTGAAATGTAGAAGGTTTAAAGCAAATAAAAGTTGTTGGCAAGGATGGTTTGACAAAGATTAGAAGGCAAAGTCTGTGATAGGATGGAAGCTAGGAGAGATTAAAACAGTGACATTGGTGATGCAAGACAAAAGGGAGTGAAAGTGGAACAAGAAAAGATATGTCTAACGGAGACATGAGCAGTACCATAGCTGCCACTGAAAATAAACAAATATGAAAGCAAGACAGTAAAACCAAAACGTGCAAAAAAAGTGAATGCAATACAGGCAGTGATTGTGATCTGAAATGAATTCAAAGTGAGTACAGAAAACTGCAAAGTACCTGATAAAAAGATGCACGTTTCCTCGAGCTGCCATTAAGCTTTATTAAAATGGTGCAGGAGGCCAGAAGAGCGAGCGGTCAGCACGGATGGAGGCGGAGAAATAGAAAGACAAACAGCTGGAAGTTTGGGGTCCTGCTTACAGATTGGAAGAAGTTCTGCAGAGTGGTTACCCGATTTACATCTGACCTTCCCATTTGTGAAGCAGATTGCATAGTTACCAGCAGATGCAGTAAAATAACTTGAAAGAAGTACAAATAACTTGATGCTTCACTTGGAAGGAGTGTTTGAGGCCTGGGAGAGAAAAGCTGAAAAGGAGTAGGTGTTCCGTAATTCTATGGAACAGCACTGGTGTTTGCAAGTATCTGCTGGCCTTATTTCTCTCTGTGATAGAGGTACTGGGTTGGGAAGAATGCAATGGAGGCCATCAATGTAAAATAGTTACCAAGAAATCAAATGAGGATTCATCTGTCTTTCAATGTCGGCAAAACTAAAGAACTGATCATCGACTTCAGAAAGAAAGGAGAACACGCCCCCATCTCCATCAGTGGAATTGAGATTGAGAGAGTGAAGAACATCAAGTTCCTTGGAGTGATGATAACCTGTCCTGGACTTCCCACATAGATGGGACAGTCAAGAAGGCACAACAACGCCTCTTTTTCCTCATGTGGCTCAGGAAATTTGCCATGTCCATAAGGCCCCTCACCAACTTCTACAGATGCGCCATTGAAAGCATACTGTCCCGGTGCAGAACGGCCTGGTATGGCAACTGCTCTGTCCAGGACTGTAAGAAACTACAGAAGGTGGTGTGCACAACCCAGACCATCACAGAAGCGAGCCCTCCATCCATGGACTCTATTTACACAGCTCGCTGCTGTGGAAAGGCTGCCAGCATCATCAAAGACCCATTGCACCCTGGTAATGGTTTCCTAGAACTTCTTGAGAAGATACAGAAGCCTAAACGCATGCATGAGCAGGTTCAGGAACAGCTTCTTTCCGATCTTTATCAGACTGTTGAATGGACTCTCACCTCAAATAATGTAACCTGCAATATTACCTATATGCCTCAGTCTTTATGATCTGTACATCTTTTGCTTGCAGTCATCTGCCTGTACTGCTCATAAACAAAGCTTTTCACTGTATTGCCACTGTATGTCGGTACACATGACAATAAATCAATCAATCAGCAGGAACTAATTTAGGCAAATAGCAAAATGAATTTAGGGTGAAGTTTTGAGCATATTGGGGGAAAAAGGAATAGTGTATTATGCTAATTGTTAGAGCAGGAAGGATGAAAGAAGACGTGAATGGAGTACAAACACCATCATTGACTAGTTTTGCTTTCATGCTTTATATTCAATTTAATTTTAACAGTCGTGACTTAGTTTTAGATTTTCACTTGAATACACTTTTAACTTATTTCAAGATCAAAATGGACACATGCTGAATAATTAGTAACATTTCAGGTCTCAATATTTAAAGTAGATGTTAAAGTGCATTTCTTTTCCTTTCATTCCAGATCACCCAGATTCAGTTAGAGACCATGAAATCGGAAAATGAATACTTAGCAGCAATGTTAAAAGTAAATGGGGTAAGGGCATATTCAGAATTATTAGGTGAGGAAGGGCCACGTTTTGGTTTACTTCGAATCTGCAATATACTGTTTGCCCTGATTTCGGTATGGAGCTATTGGTTGAAAGGATACAGCTCTCTGCCGTTGATTCCAGTCAGCATTAAGAGAAAGTATGAAGGAAAACGTAATTACCCAATTTGGTCTTCCAACAGAGAGTCTGAGATCAAGAATCCTTTCTGTTCAAGATTGATGTTGCAAGCCACACAGTCATATTTCTAAGATTCGCTGGGCCCATTGTTTCAACTGGTCGTGTGTGGGTTGAAGTCTCACTCCAAATATTTGAGTACAATATGCTGACACTCTTATGATGCAGTATTGCACCGTCAGAGGTGTCACACACATCAAACCAAGATTCAATCTGTTCACTGAGATAGACTTAATATTCTTCAGATTTTAGGGAGAAATATTAATGTTCTAGTCAATATTTATTCCTCTCAGATGAGTAAAACCAGGACACATTGGTTTTCACAACATTGCTGATAGTGTATTGTTCAAAGTGCAAAACTACCTCAGTCAAAACAGAAATTGCTAGAGAAACTTAGGAGGTCTGGTAGCATCTGTGAAAAGAAAAGAGCATTAATATTACAAGTGTTGCTGGACTTGAAGTGTCACTGAACGCAAAGCATTAACTCTCTTTTCTGTTTGCATATGCTGCCAGACCTGCTGAGTTTCACCAGCAGCTTTGGTTTTTGTTTGTTTCAGACCTCCAGCATCCACAGTCCTTTGTTTTATTTTTGTCAAAAAGCGTCTAATTTTACTCAAATAAATGCAGCTATTACTATTTTCATGTTAATGATTTGGTTGCAGAAACATTTGTTTTGAAAAGTTGTTTCTAAGCTGTGCAACTAATGTGTTTAATGCTTGATTCATGGTTTTGAAAGTGAACCTTTGACACTCAACTACTTTTTAACTACGTGACAGAAAGTCCCTGGTAATCCAACCACTGTTATTTAATTCAGCCAGGCTTGCAATGTCAGACACCGTAATTGTCCTCATTGCATTTGAGCTAGATAACTGGGATATTAAGAAGAGTTCCGAATCATTCTTAATCATTCTGACCTCAGTATGTGTGCGTGGTAGTACGATTGTGCTCAACAGTGATGTTCTCTGTGGTTGAATGGTCTGTGACTCTGGATTGAAACTTGAAAATTGGTGGCATTGTTAAGTTAAAGGAATCCATGACTTCCAAAGGGGGAGAGAGAGAAAGGGGAAAAAAAATTAACAAGCTCTCCATTCATTCCAAAAACAGCAGAATTGTTCGATAACAGACCTTCGCGATGGCTATTTTTCATCCCTGAGGCAACTGGATCAAGAAAACCAGCAACTCCAAAAAGAATTGGCTGATGTGAGAAGCAAGTTGGAGACATCTACCAAGGTGTCTCAGGACAGATACGAAATGCTCCTGTTACAGATACAGAACAAACTGACAGATATCAGAGAAACGGAGGATAGGTATGGAGTCTTTCCAGGCAATATATGTTAAAGCTCATCTTAATTCACTACATTAATTTCTAACTTGTTTATCATCTTTGGAGTATCAACTCATGTGCCAGAGATATGTGTTCAAATTGCACCATGGCAACTGAGGGAATTTAAATGCAATTAAGTAATAATTGTGAAATTAAATGCTGGTCTCACTCATAATTGTTCACATAGAATCCATACAGTGTGGAAACAGCCCAATTGGCCCAACGAGTCCACACCAACCCTTCGAAGAACATCCCACTCAGACACCCCAACTGCCCGCCCCCCCCTTTAAAAAAAAACATCCAAGCATCCGATCCCTGTAACCCTGCATTCCCCATGGCTAATCCACCAAACCTGTACATCTTTGGACTGGTCCTAAAATCTATCTAGGTTGAGATAATCGACCCCCTAACAACCACGACCATTTTCCTATGTGTCTGGTGTGACTCCACCCACCGGAGAGTTTGCCCCCTGAAACCCACTGATTCCGGTTTTGCTAGGGCTCCTTGATGCCACACTCGGTCCAATGCAGCCTTGATATCAAAGGTTGTCACTTTCCCCTCACCTCTAGAATTCAGCTCTTTAGTCCATGTTCGAACCAAGGCTGTGATGAGGTTGAGTGGCCCTGGCAGAACTCAAACTGGGCATCACTGAGCAGGTTATTCCTGAGCAGGTGCTGCTTGATAGCACTGTTGATGACACCTTCCATCACTTCACTGATGATCGAGAGGAGACCGACAGGGCGGTAACTGACCGAGTTGAATTTGTCCTGCTTTTTGTGTACAGGACATACTTGGGCAATTTTCCACATTGTCGGGTAGATACCAGTGTTGTAACTGTACCGGAACAGCTTGGCTTGGGGAGCGGCAAGTTCTGGAGCACAAGTCTTCAATACTATTGCTGGAATATTGTCAGGGCCCATAGCCTTTGCAGTATCCAGTGTCTCTAGCTGTTTCTTGATACCATGAGGAGTGAATCGAATTGCCTGAAGACTGGTATCTGTAATGCTGGGGACCTCTGGAGCAGGCTGAGATGGATCATCCACTCGGCACTTCTGGCTGAAGATTGCTGCGAATGCTTCAGCCTAATCTTTTGCACTGATGTGCTGGGCTCTTCCATCATTGAGGATGGGGATATTTTTGGAGCCTCCTCCTCCAGTGAGTTGTTTAATTGTCCACCACCATTCACGACTGGATGTGGCAGGACTGCAGAGCTTAGATCTGATCCGTTGGTTGTGGGATCGCTTAGCTCTGTCTATCACTTGTTTTCGTTGTTTGGTGTGCAAGTAGTCCTGTTTGGTCGCTTCACCAGGTTGATATCTTCTCTTCAGGTATGCCTGGTGCTGCTCCTGGCATGCCCTCCTGCACTCTCCACTGACCCAGGGTTGATCCCCTGGCTTGATGATAATGGTTGAGTGGGGGATATGCTGAGCCATGTGTTTACAGATTGTGCTGGAGTACAATTCTGCTGCTGTTGATGGCCCACAGTGCCTCATTGATGCCCAGTCTTGAGTTGCTAGATCTGTGCGAAGTCTGTCCCATTTAGCACGGTGATAGTGCCACACAACACGATGGAGGTTGTTCTCAATGTGAAGGCAGGACTTTGTCTCCACAAGGACCGCGTGATGGTCACTCTTGGACAGATGCGACTGCAGCTGGCAGATTAGTAAGAATGAGATCAAGTATGTTTTTCCCTCTTGTTGGTTCCCACACCACCTGCCGCAGACCCAGTCTAGCAGCTGTGTCTTCTAGGACCCAACCAACTTGATCAGTAGTAGTGCTGCCGAGCCATTCTTGATGGTGAACATTGAAATCCCCCACCTAGAGTACATTTTGTTCCCTTGCCATCCTCAGTGCTTCCTCGAAGTTGTTCAACATTGAGGAGAGAGGTAGTAAGAACTGCAGATAATGGAGTCAGAGATAACACAGTGTGGAGCTGGAAGAGTACAGTAGACCAGGCAGCATCAGAGGAGCAGGAAAGTTGACGTTTTGGGTCGGGACCCTCCTTCAGAAATTGGGGAGGGGGAAGGGAGCTCAGAAATAAATAGAGAGAGGAGGAGTAGGGCTGGGGAAGGTAGGTGGGATGGTGATAGATGAGTGCAGGTAGGGAGTGGTGGGGATTGGTCAGTGAGGTGGGAAGAGCGGATAGGTGGGAGAAAAGATGGACAGGTCAAGGAGGTGGGGATGAGAGGGAGGGTTGGTCATAGGATGAGGCTGGGGGTGGGGAGATTTTGAAACTGGTAAAGTCCACATTGAGACCATTGGGTTGTAGGCTCCCAAGGCGGACTATGAGGTACTGCTCTTCCAGTTTCCAGGTGGGTAATCGTTAAGCAGTGATCTTAAAAGAAACTTTTTCAGATGATATGGAATGCAATCGAATTGTTCATCAGTAAATTAATTCCCAAGGTAATTCCTATGCAATCTACTATATCTGGGTTTCCACGGGATCCCAATGTGCTACTCCAGCCTGCACTAGTCCAGTCAACACTGTTCCCAGTAGTTCTCTATCCATCAAAATGCCTGGGCCAATAAATTAGCATAGGAATCCGTCATTGTCAACATCCTGGGGCTTACCATTACCAAAGGCCGAACTAGACCAACTATAAACGTATTGTGTAGCTACAAGAGCAGCTCCGAGCCTGGGATTTCTGCAACAAGTAACTTAACCCCTGACTCCTCATAACTTTTCAATCATACATGCAACGAAAAGCTGAGTGAAAGCAATAGGACAACAAACCTCATCACGCAGCAAATGGGTCATGTCTAAAATGCACTACCAAAATGCATGGTGGAGACAGGTTCAATCAAGGCTTCAAAATTAGACTGTTATTTGGAAAGGCAGAACCTGCAGGCTTGGGAATGGGCGAGGAAAGCAGAAGAATGGAACCAAGTGAGATGGTCATTTGAAGAGTCAGTGCAGACACAATGGATTGCATAGCCGCCTTCTGCACTTAGACAGAACTGTGATTCTTTCTTTGTTGTTGCTGGTGATGGTCAAAGACCTTGTTTGAGATCTCCTTAAGAGATTGGTTACATTACATAATTTTCCTGTAGGGATCCTTTTTTATGATCCTTAAGCAGTGGGCATCCCTGATAAAACCAACCCTAGTTATCCTGACAAGGTGATGTTGGGCTGCCTTTTTGAACTAATTAATGTGTGATTAATCGTGCTCCTATTTTATTAGAATATCCAATAAGTATACCAGCCTGTTTACTCTCATCACTCTTTATAATGGTTTTGACACAACTAAGTGGTTTATTAGCCCACTGGATAGTTGGTCACTGCGCTGTATAACTAGAGTCATGTGTAGACTGGGCCACAAAGCAGCATGAGGTTTCCTTTCCTAAAGGTGTAAAATCAATTTGTATAATCAATTTTGGTCAAAGTTCCCTTAAAATGTCTAAATGGTCCATGCAACATTCACAGGAGAACTAATGTTTTACAGCTTCTAACGCACGCTTGAAGGTTGTTTCTCAGACTGGAGGCCTGTGACTAGTGATGTGCCACAGGGGTCGGTGCTGGGACCTTTGTTATTTGTAATTTACATAAATGTTCTGAATGTGAATATACAAGGCATGATTAGTAAGTTTGCGAATGATACAAAATTAGGAGGTATCATTGATAGCGAGGAAAGTTATCAAAAATTACAGAGGGATCTTAATCAGATAGGGAATTGGGCTGAGGATTGGCAAATGCAATTCAGTGCCAGTAAGTGTGAAGTGTTGCACTTTGTAAAGTCAGACCAAGTTAGGACTTATACAGTAAATGGTAAGGTCCTGAGGAGTATGGTGGAACAGAGGGACCGAGGAGTACAAATGTGTAGTTGGTTGAAAACAGAGTTATAGGTAGTGAAGAAGGCATTTGGCATGCTAGCGTTCATCAGTTGAGGCATTGAGTATAGGAGTTGGGACATTATGTTACAATTGTATCAGTTGTTGATGAGGCCGCACTTGGAGTATTGTGTATAGTTTTGGTCACCCTGTTATAGGAAAGACATAATTAAACTGGAAAGTCGGCAAAGAAGATTTACGAGGAGGTTGCCAGGACTAGTAGGCCTGTGTTATAGGGAGAGGTTGACCAGGATAGGATTTTATTCCTTGGAGAATGAGCGCTGACCTTATTGAAGTGTATAAAATCATGAAGGGCATAGATAGGATGAATGCATATCGTCTTTTTCCCAGGGATGGGGAGTTGAAAACTAGAAGGCATAGGCTTAAGGTGAGAGGGGAAAGATTTAAGAAGGACCTGAGGGGCAACTTCTTCATGCAGAGAGTGGTAGTTATATGGAATGGGCTGTCAGTGAATGTAGTTGAAGCCGGTACAATAGCAACATTTAAAAAAAACATTTGGATAGGTACATGGATGGGAGGGTTGAGAGGGTTTATGGACCAAATGTGGGCAATTGGAACTAACTGAGTGTGCACCATGGTCAACGTGGACCAGTTTGGGCTGAAGGGCCTGTTTCCATGCTGTATTGCTCTATGACTCCATGATAAGCTTTATTTCCATTCATAGTAAGCACAGTTGTGTAATCTGAAAATGTCTCTGTGAATGTTTGTAGGCGAGTGGAGGAGCTCCAGCTTGAACACAAGAAGGAAATTGAAGAACTTCAGAACAAACTCCGTGAGATGGTTGCTCAGTCTGAAGAGAGCAAGCACGCCTCGCAAAGTCAGCACCAGTGTTCCGAGTCTGATTTTCACAATTTAACAGAGGGCCGAATCACTGAGAGGACTTTTTCCAATACGGTTCAGAGTGATTCATCAAATGCTTCAGTTTCTGAATCCTCGCATGGGGTCACCTCCTGTGTCACCTTGTCTGCAGATGAGAATGAAGCATATTTTTCTGACAATTCATCAGCACATTCAGCCCATTCACTTCCTAGTGAGCAGTTTCTGTCTTTGGTGAGTGTGCTTTATTATATATTCATTACATATGAAGGCCTAGCATTCTCTTCTGAATTTCTAGCTTGTTGCACATGATGAATATGTGTGGTTTTGATAGAGCAAGTCACGACAAATGGATTTCCCCGGCAGGAGGGTAGGCAATGAAAGGAATTAATGGGTCCTTTTCAAATTTGGGAGGCAGTAACTAGTGGGGTGCAGCAGGGATCAGTGCTGGGACACCAGCTATTCATAAATATATATTAATGACAAGTTGAATATGGAAAATCTCAATTCCAGTGGATAGAGGGGAGCTATTAGTTGTGTTGTATTTGGACTTCTAGAAGGCATTCAACAAGCTACCTCACAAAAGGCTATGTCATAAGATAAGAACCCATGATGTTGAAGGTAGTATATTGACGTGGATAGAGAATTGGCTAATGGCCAGGAAACAGTGAGTGGGGCAAAGGTGTTCTTTTTCAGATTGGCGACACATGGGATTCCACAAGGGTCAGTGCTAGGACTGCACTTGTTTACAATGTATGTTAGTGACTTGAAGGAAGAACGTGAATGTACGGCCAACCAAGAAATAGGTGGAAAGGCAAGTTATGAGAGGGTTAGTTTATGTACAGATATTGATAAGTTGTGTAAGTGAGCAAAAAGTTGGCAAATGGCATATTATGTAGGAAAATGCAAAGTTGTTCATATTAGAAGGGAGCACAAAAGATCAGAATTTTATTTAAATGGAGAAAAACTACAGAAAGCTGCAACACAAATGGATTTGGGGGCATTTGTGCACGAAACACAGAAAGCTAGCACACAGATTCAGCAGATAATTAAGAAGGCTAATGGAATGTCAGCCCTTATTTCAAGGAGGTTGGAATTTAACAATAGGGAGGTCTTACTACAACTGTACTATTGTGACTACATCTAGACTATTATGAGCAGTTTTGGTCCCTTTATTTAAGGAAACATATAATTTAATTGGAGGCGGTCCAGAGAAGCTTCACAAGGATGATCCCTGGTGTGGAGGGATTATCTTATGAGTAAAGACTAAATGGTTTGAGATTCACTGGTGTTTAGATAATGAGAGGTGATTTCATTGAAACATTGAAATCATGCTTGACAAGTCTATTGGAATTCTATGAAGATGTAACTAGTTGAGTTGACAAGGGGCAGCCAGTCGATGTGGCACATTTGGACTTTCAGAAAGTGTTTGACAAAGTCCCACAAAAGAAATTATTGAGCATTATTAAAGCACATGGGATTGGGAGAAGTGTATTGAGATGGATAGAAACCTGGTTGGCACAGAGGAAATAAAGAGTAGGAATTAATGGGTCCTTTTCAAATTTGGGAGGCAGTAACTAGTGGGGTGCCGCAGGGATCAGTGCTGGGACCCCAGCTATTCATAAATATATATTAATGATTTGGATGAGGGAATAAAATGTAACATCTCAAAGTTTGCAGATGATACTAAGTTGGGTGGGAGGGTGAACTGTGACGAGGATGCAGAAATCCTTCAGCATGATCTCGACAGGTTGGGTGAGTGGGCAAATCAATAGCAGATGCAGTATAATTTTGGATAAATATGAAGTTATTCACTTTGAAAGCAAAAACAAGAAGGCAGATTACTACTTGAATGGCTGTAAATTGGGAGAGGGGAGTGTGCAGTAGGACCTGGGTGTCCTTGTGCACCAGTTGCTGAAGGTAAGCATGCAGGTGCAGCAGGTGGTAAAGAAGGCCTTCGTATGTTGGCCTTCGTAGTGAGAGGTTTCAAGTACAGGAGCAGGGATGTGTTGTTGCAGTTGTACAGGGCCTTGGTGAGACCATATCTAGAATACTGTGTGCAGTTTTGGTTTCCCTTTCTGAGGAAGGATTCCCTTGCTCTCAAGGGAGTGCAGCGAAGGTTTACCAGGCTGATTCCGGTGATGGCAGGTCTGACATATGAGGAGAGATTGACTAGGTTAGGATTGTAGCCTTAGCATAGTCTGAAGAATAAAGGGGTGCCAATTAAAGACTGAGACGAGGAGGAACTTTTCTGTCAGAGGGTTGAGTGTCATTGGAGCTCTTTGCAACATGGAGTCCTTGTGTATATTTAGGCTGAAATAGATACATTTTTAATCGGTAGGGTATTCGAGGGTTATGGGGAAAGGGCAAAACGTGGATGTGAGGAATGTCAGATCAGTCATGATCCTGCTGGATAGGTTACAGTCATACAGCACGGAAACAGACCCTCCCTTCAGTCCAACTCGTCCATGCTGACCAGGTATCCTAAACTGAACTAGCTCCGTTTGGCCCATATCCCTCTAAACCTTTCCTAACCATGTAACTGTCCAAATGTCTGTTAAATGTTGTAATTGTACCCACATTTATACACACCACTCTCTGTGTGAAAATGTTGCCCCTCAGGACCCTTTTAAATCTTGCCCCTCTCAGCTTAAACCCATGTCTTCTAGTTCTGAACTCCCCTAATGTGGGGGAAAAGACCTTGGCTTATCTATGCCCCTCATGGTTTTGTAAATCTCTATAAGGTGAGCCGTCAATCTCAGATGCTCCAGGGGAGAAAAGCCCCAGCTTATCCAGCCTCGTCTCATAGCTTAAACTCTCCAAGATGGCACCATTCTCGTAAATATTTTCTGTACCCTTTCTAGTTTAACAACATCCTTCCTATAGCAGTGTGACCAGAATTCTACCGTCTAGACCCCTCTGTTCAACCACACTCCCTATGGCTCTACCATTAACTGTGTAAGTCCTGCCTTGGTTTGTCTGACCAAAATGCACCACCTCACATTTATCTGAATTAAACTCCATCTGTTACTTCTCAACCTATTAGCTCATCTGATCAGGATCTCATTATACTCTTAGATAACCTTCTTCACAGTCCACTTAGCCACCAATTTTGGTGTCATCCACAAAATTCCGAACCGTTACCTCCGTTATTCTCATCTGAATTGTTGTTATAAATGATGCACAGCAGTGGACCCAGAACCAGTCCTTGGGGCATACCTTTGATCACAGGCCTCTAGTCCAAATAACAAACCCTATACCACCACCATGGTCTTTTACCATCAAGCCAATCTTGTATCCAACTGGCTACCTTTCCCTGGATCCCATGCAATCTAACCTCTCTACCATTTGGAACTTTGTCGAAGATCTTCCTAGGAGCAAGCTGAAGGGATCGAGCAGCCTACTGCTGTTCTTATTTTCTTATGGACAAAAAAAATCTAGAGCTGGAATGAGTAATCTTCGAACCCTAACTTTAACTCTAACTGTATCACGTTGAAATATTACAGTTGAGGGTATTTGCCTGGGAACAGATTCAGCAATACTCTCAAAAGCAAATTTGTGGGTCTCCTTTAAAGAAAAAAAGAGTTGCAGGTCTGTAGGGAAAGAGCAGAGGAACAGGATGAATTGGATACTTTTTAACAGAGAGCTAGCACAGGCATGATTGGCTGAATGGTGTACTTCTGTGCTGTATGATTCTATTACTGGTTTTCCCAAAGTGGGGACGGGATCCCAAGTAGGGTTGCGAGCTGATATTTTGGGGTTGTATGATCCAGTTGTCACCATGGAAGTTGGGCTGGATTTTAACAGCTTCACTCTCTCTTTAACAGAGAGAATCCTACGTTCTCAGGCCCCCTTATCTCTCAGTACAACACACTGAGAGATCACACCGCTTTCAAAGCTCAAATAGGATCACAGTTGGGAAATGTTTGGGAAGTATTGCTCTATAAACTGTTGTTTTGTTTTAACTTTGGGGAAAAAAATCCTAAAATAAGGTAGTACCAATTTTTCTAGTCTTAATAATCCGCATGAAACCTTCGTATTTCTGTCACCTGGATCAAGAAATGTATTATTTAAGGTATCTGTGTTTCCTTTGGAAATCTACATTTACCTAATCCTGGAACTCACCATTCCATCAGTATCAATTAGAGCCATGGGAACTGCTGATGAGGCAAGTCTAAAATTATTTCATTTACTAGCCAGCACTGATCACACAACATATCCTGGAATATTGTTATACTCCAAAGTAACATTTTTCCACAGAAGATGAGGTTGGAAGACAGCACTTACAATTTTATTGACCACAGCATTTTTTAAAAAATTCATTGAGGGCATCGCTGGCTTCACCAGCTTTCGTTGCCCATCCCTAATTGCTCAAAGGGCAGGTAAGAGTCAATCACATTGCTGTGGGTCTGGAGTCCCATGTAAGCCAGATCAGTTAAGGATGGCAATTTCATTCCCAAAAAGACATTCGTGAACCAGATTGTTTTTCTTGATAATCAACAATGGTCATTGTTTGACTCTTAATTCCAGATTTTTATTGCATTCAAATTCCACTATCTGCCATGGCAGGACTCAAACCTGGGTCCGCAGAATAAAATAGAATAGAATATCCTTTATTGTCAGGTGTACTCAAGTACAGGAGTAGCCTCTGGATTAACAGTTCAGCAATAATATCACTAGGACATTGCCTCCCCTTGTATTTATACTTGTATTTATAAACCACCATTAACCTAATAAAAAAATGTTGCAAGGTCAGCTGAGCTGTTAGAGCAGATGATCAAGTTTGGCCAATGACAAGTGTTTTTAAGAGACTCTGAAAGAGGGAAAGAGAAGTCAGGAATGGAGAGATTTAGGAAGGGATTTCAGAACTTGGGGTCTAGACAGCTAAAGGCCCAGTCACTGATGTTAGATAAATTCAAATCACACGTCCTTGGCAGATGGAATTGAAAGGGCAAATATAACTTGAAGGGCTAACGTTTCGGGTTCGGTGACCCTTCCTCACAACTCCTGAGTAAGGGTCACCGGACCCAAAACGTTAACTCTGATTTTTATCTTCTTAGATGCTGCCAGACATGCTGAGCTTTTCCAGCAACTTCTGTTTTTGTTCCTGATTTACAGCATCCACAGTTCTTTCAGTTTTTATTACTAGAAGGGTTATGGGGTTAGAATGAATTACTGGCTTGGGGAGGGGCAAGGTTATGGAGGGATTTGTAAACAAGGATAAGATTTGTAAAATTGAAGTATTGTTTAATTGGGAACACTGGTAAATCACTAGCCACAGGGATAGATGAATAAAGGTGACTCTGGCAATTAATTGTACCAGATTCTTTCCTCGCTGGACCAGGCAATATTTGAAGCCTTTCCAATTTTCTATCCACTGTTACATTAGGGAGGTCAGTGAAACTGTGTTGCAAGGGAGCTGGAAACATTTCATTCTCTCTTGCCAGAGAGAGAGAGAGAGAGAGGTGGAGTGAGCAGGGTGCTAGTGATACTTGCAGGCTTTACCATTGTGCACTGTGCCATTGACTGTATGTCCACTGCTTTGTGTGCACATATCAGCTTGAGTCCAACTCAGTCAATGTTCAGCTGCTGTTTGACCATAGCCTGGAAAACACACAGGTAACTACCTGAAATCCTAGCAACAGTCACGATGTCTGTCCCATCCAAACAAACTAGAAGCTGCTGGTTAGAAAAAGCTGTCAACTGACCATCTAACCCATGATTCTTGTAACCCATGTAAAGCAAGCATATACATGAAATGTGATTGAGCAGACTTCGGATATTTAGACTATGCTTGGGCTTTCCTTAAAGTGCTTCCCTGCAGTGCTTTGAACAGGATGTTTCCAGATTCATAATTGCCTGCCACATGTTACACAACCTTCCTATCGTGAGGGGAAGACCCTTGCAGCCAGCCAAATGGTAAACAACTGAGGAGGAAGAAGGTGAAGAGGCACCCGTCCCAGTCCATTTCTGGCCAGGCAGTCCATGATCAGCTCATCTGACAGATTGCAGGAAATGTGGTCCCAATATCCTGTTTACCAATTGTACGTGTGTTACTTTCCCTCACATTGTCACAAGTGTTTGGCCACAATACAAAAACAGAAGCCACAACGCCAAACCAAATTCATGAATCAAACCATATTGCATATAAGCATTCCACTATTTGCCTGTGTGCATTTCCTTCATATCTGTCTTCTGTTATCTACCCTGGAGCTCCAGTGCACCTTAATGTCTGCGGTGTGTTTGGTGACAGTGTGAAAAAGACTGCAGATCTCACCCAGATTATATGGATTTTGTCGATCAGACGGCACAAGTTGAAGAGATTATGAGGTGTAAGGAAGGAGATCAAGGGATCTGATGTTTTCAGGTCCAGTTATGGCCCCAGTTCTTATCATTTGCATCTGGGTTCAGACTTGTTTTATTAACTGTTCTTTGCTGGCTTGGTGTTGCTGCCGTCAGTTGATGCAGCTATTATCCATTATTGACAGAACACTGTAAGTGTGCTGTATTGTATCTGGACAAAGTAATTGTTATGGTTCAATAGCCGACAACGTGAGTGAGATGTTTGCAGCAGTACTCAGCTGAGATGACACAATGGGACTGCAGTATGAATTATGATTGATTTTAGAAATGCAGGCCTTTGATTTCCTTTGTGATTTTCATGGCCACAGCATGTGACAAAGGGATTTCCAGCTAACTAGCTACTTTTGAAGCATAGTCCCTGTTATAATGCAGCACCAGCTCATGCACAGCAAGCTCCCACAAGCAGCAATGTAATAATGACTGAATCATATGTTTTTGTGATGGGAATAATTGGTAGGTGTGATGATTCACCTGCTGGCATGTGGGACCAGCCATACACATCGGGCGGATATGGCATTAGGTACTGACCTTGAGTATTCAAGCGAGGTTAATTGAACTTCTTCCAGCATTGCATCTTATCCTCAGGACTAGACTCCTGACATTGACCTATATTGTTCCCTCTGCCTTTGTGCAGTTTGACTGGAGGGCCTCCTTCTATTCACATCAGCATCAAGGAATGTTAATGCATACTCACTGCCTTGTTCTGCTATAATTCATTGTTCTTCATACTCCTACCGTCTTTTTCTGTAATTGCTTCCAATACCAAGATACACCTGTCTGTTTAAAAGGTGCAGAATAACTTTAAGTGGTACTACTGGGACACACAGTCGGGTTGATGAGATGACGGCGTAATGTTAATGTGACTAGACCCATCATCCAGATGCCCAGGCTAATGTTCGAGGGGCAAGGGTTTGAATCCTACCACAGCAAACGGTGATATTTGAATTCAGCAAAAATCTGGAATAAAAACCTGTCCTAATGGGACCGTGTAACCATGGTAAATTGTCATAAAAACCTGTATGGTTCACTAATGTCCGTTAGAGAATGAAGTTTGTCATCCTTACCTATATGTGACCACGGCAATGTCTGGGCAATGAAGGGTGGGCAGTAAAAGCTGGACTGGCGAGCCGTGCCAACAGCCCATGAGTAAATAAATAAAACATTTTACCGCTGGTTACCCATAGCTATCTTGCCAATTAACTAGAAGTACAAACACTGAGAGATGCCCACAACAATAACAACATGCATGGTTTGTTACTCACTTTCCCTTTCCAAGCTCTGTTCAATTTCTTAGGCAGCATATGAAAAAAATACATACCAGGTGACTGAAATTATGATCTATTGTATAAAAGTGATGTTGCTCTGAATGCAGTTTGGTTAGGACTTTAACTTTTGCACAGTGGGAGCTATGTTGCATCCAGTTGCCTTTTATAGTAAAAGGTCTCCATTTACACTCTGAGCACACAATGTAAAGCACCTCACATCTGTATATGATAGTCTTCCTTTTTGTTTTATTGTTTGTACTTACGTTGATGAATGTATTTCAGAGCCCAACAATTGCATCCACAAAGACATCGATTGCAGTCAGGTATCTCGAGGAAGAGGACAGAAGGTCACAGCAACTTTTACAACGTCTGGACATGCATATTGAGGAACTCAAAGCTGAAAGTGAAAGAACTGTTGACAAATATGTATAATCCACTGTGATGGAAAATCAACTCTCAGGCTCCAAATAATGAACTTTACTCAGCATGAGACTGAATAAATGGAGCTAGTGTTTGTACTATCTGGCCTCAGTAATGGGTACATTTTCGTTCTTGGAGGTGTATCTAATGTGCATTGGGGTAGACGTTAACCATCCTTATCACTTGGTTTCTTAATAACCTATGTACTGTAGCTTTATATTCATCATCCCAAAGTTGTGTAATCATGTAGTCTGTAATCATGTTTGTCTGCACCAGTACAGCCAGCACACTTCAGGAAGTGTGTTAGTACTGTTTTTGGAAGTGAGCATCAAGCTGTCAAAAATCCAGACTCTGCCTCTGAGGGCTTCTATTTTCAGAGTTGACCCTGAGAAACCACTCCAGTCCCTCCAAGACTCCAGGTATCAAGTTTACAAGGTCATGGTTACATCAATATTTCTGAGCAAAAACATGAACCTTTTGAAGATTAGCTGATGTCACTACATTGGTGCTGTGTTAAGGATATTGGAGTGGTCCTACTTTTCCAATAAACTATCCAAAATGCAGCAAATTGGTGCTTCTGTTAAAGAAAAGGGGGCATCAGTTGTCATTGTGATTGCTGTATGTTAGTCCAAGGTCACGGCTCCAGCAGCGACCTGCTAATAAATTGTGTTTTCAAATTGTTTTGTTTAAACAGCATTTTCCAGGTCTGAAGTTGTGGTACTTGTTTATATTTTGGATGCTGTTATAAATGGTGGTAAATAAATACTGCTTAACAGCATGATTCAAACTCCAGCTCTTTCTGGTAGACTTCTATTAGTGCGGCTGAAGGAAGGAGACTAATGAAATTATGTTCTGCTTCAGATTAAGTTTACCTTTTTAGGCATGTATAAATGACAAATTACCATTCTGGAGTGAGAACCTAACTTAAAAGATCCTGCATGTTCCTGAAAGGACTAATCAGTGAAGTTGTTTCTTCATTTGTTTTGTAAAGGAAACCTCCAGTGCTGAATTATAATTGTATATTTGTGTACATAAGATTTATCAATAAACTTTATACACAGTGGAAACAACTTTTCCAGTTTGTTTTATTAAAATACATTTAACTATGTGTTAGATTGATGTAAAACCAAGGTAAAGCCCTTTGCATTTTTGCTTTGTTAGTTGTAATATATATGACCTAATGTTAAACATGTATGGAGGTAAGGTTACAGTCCTGATAAAAGATCATAGACCGGAAATATTATGTTCTTTCACTTTTCGTGGATTTACCTGATTTGCAGAGTATTTTCAGCATTTTCTGATTGTATTTAAGATTTGTTTTTGTGTTGAGTTGGACTTGGACATTTTCTAACAAACCTGTTCAGGGATATTATCACATACCTCTGGAGCAGATGGGACTTGAACCCAGGCCTCCTAGCTTAGAGGCAGGGCCACTATCAGCCGAACAAAGAACATTACAAAACAGAAAAAATCTGTTTTTCTGAAGGGTCTAGGCCCGAAACGTCAGCCTTCCTGCTCCTCTGATGCTGCTTGGCCTGCTGTGTTCACCCAGCTCTACACCTTGTTATCTAACATCCTGGTAAACCTCTTTTGCACTCTCTCCAAAGCCTCCACTTCTTTCCTATAGTGTAGAGACTGGAACTACACACAGTACTCTAAATGTGGCCTAACTAAAGTTTTATTCATGACTGTAACATGACTTGCCAACTTTTAGACTTAATACCCTGACCGATGAAGGCAAGGCTGCTGAATGCCTTCTTTACAACCTTACCCACATGAGTTGTCACTTTCAGAATTGTGCCCGGGATCTCTCTATATCAATGCTGCTAATGGTCCTGCCTTTTACTTGTATACTTTCCTCTTGCTTTTGATGTCACAAATTGCATCACTTCACATTTAGAACATAGAACAGTACAGCACAGTACTGGCCCTTTGGCCCATGATGTTGTGCTGACCTATTATCCTATTAAGATCAATCTACTGTGCATACCCTACATTTTACTATCATCCATGTGCCTATCCAAGAGTCACTTCAAAGTCTCTATAAAGTATCTGACCCCACTACCACTGCCAGCAGCGCATTCCACACACACACCACTCTCTATGTAAAGAACCTACCTCTTACATCTCCCCTATACCTTCCTCCAATCACCTTAAAATTATGCCCCCTCGTGATTGTCATTTCTGCCCTGGGAAAAAACTCTGTGGCTATCCACTCTATCTATGCCTCTCATCATCTTGTACACCTCTATCAAGTCACATCTCATCCTTCTTCACTCCAATGAGAAAAGCCCTAGCTCCTTCAACCTTTCCTCATAAGACCTGCCCTCCAGTCCAGGTAGCATCCTGGTAAATCTCCTCTGCACCCTCTCTAAAGCTTCCATATCCTTCCTATAATGAGGCGACCAGAACTGAATACAATATTCCAAGTGTGGTCTAACCAGGGTTTTATAGAGCTGCAGCATAACCTCGTGGCTCTTAAACTCAATTCCCTGCCAATGAAAGCCAACACACCATACGCCTTCTTAACAACCCTATCAACTTGGGTGGCAACTTTGGGGGATCGATGGACCCCAAGATCCCACTGTTATTCCACAATGCCAAGAATCCAGCCGTTAACCCTGTATTCTGCATTCAAATTCGACCTTCAAAAATGAATCACTTAACACTTTTCTGGGTTGAATTCCATCTGCCACTTCTTTGCCCAGCTCTGCAGCCTGTCAATGTCCCGTTGCAACGTATAACAGCCCTCCACGCTATCCACAACTCCCCCAATCTTCATGTCATTAGCAAACTTACTAACCCAAGTCATTTATAAAGATCACAAAGAGCAGAGATCCCAGAACAGATCCCTGCGGAACACCACTGGTCACCGAGCTCCAGGCTGAATACTTTCCATCTACTACCACCCTCTGCCTTCTTTTGAACAGCCAATTCTCTATCCAGACAGCGAAATGTCCCTGAATCCCATGCCTCCTTACTTTCTGAATGAGTCTACCATGTGGAACATTATCAAATGCCTTGCTAAAATCCATATACACCACATCCACTGCTCAACCTTCATCAATGTGTTTTGTCACATCCTTAAAGAATTCAATAAGGCCTGTGAGGCATGACCTCCCCCCCACCGACCCCTCAAAGTCATGCTGACTGTTTCTAATCAAATTATGCCTTTCCAAATAATCATAAATACTATCTCTCAGAATCCTCTCCAATAATTTGCCCACCAAAGAAGTAATTTCCAGGATTATCCCTATTCCCTTTCTTGAACAATGGAATAACATTTGCCACCCTCCAATCATCTGGTACTACTCCAGTGGACAGTGAGGACGCAAAGATCATTGCCAAAGGGGCAGCAATCTCTTCCCTCACTTCCCATAGTAACCTTGGGTATATCCCGTCTGGCGCAGGGGACTTATCTATCCTCATGTTTTTCAAAATTTCTAACACATCCTCCTTCCTAACATCAACTTGTTCGAGCATATCAGCCTGTCCTCACAAACAACAAGGTCCTTCTCACTGGTGAATACCAAAGCAAAGTATTCATTATGGACCTCCCCTACTTCCTCTGACTCTTGCACAAGTTCCCTCCACTATCCCTGATTTGGCCCTACCTTCACTCTGGCCATCCTCTTGTTCCTCACCAGTATACAGCACCTTGGGATTTTCCTTAATCCTACCCGCCAAGGCTTTTTCATGCCCCCTTCTAGCTCTCCTAAATCCATTCTTCACTTCCTGGCTACCTTGTAGCCCTCTAGAGCCCTGTCCAATCCTTGATTCCTCAACCTTAAGTAAGCTTCCTTCTTCCTCTTGACTAGGTGTTCCACATGTCTTGTCATCCAAGGTCCTTCACTTTACCATCCCTTCCTTGCCTCAGTGGAACAAACCTATCCAGAACTCATAGCAAGTGCTCCCTAAACAACCTCACATTTCTGTCATGCATTTCCCTACGAACATCTGATCCCAATTTATGCTACTTTCTGTATCGACTGTCTATCCTTCCTCACAGGCTCTCTGCATGCTGTATCTGCCTGTACACCAGCTACTCCATCCTCTGATCCGTAGCTCCGGTTCCCATCCCCCGCCAAACTAGTTTAAACCCTCCTGAAGAGCTCTAGCAAACCTCCTGCCCAGAATATTGGTGCCCCTCTCGTTTGGGTGCAACCTGTCCTCTTGTACAGGCCCCACCTTCCCCAGAAGGTATCCCAATGATCACATATCTGAAGCCCTCCCTCCTACATCAGCTCTGTAGCCATGTGTTCAGCTGCACTCGCTCTCTATTCCTAGCCTAACTAGCCTGTGGTACTGGTAGTAATCCTGAGATTACTACTCTGCTCATCCTGCCTTTTAGCTTCCAACCTAACTCCCTATATTCACTTTTCAGGACCTCATCCCTTTTCCTAGCTATATCATTGGTACTGATGTGTACCACGACTTCTGGCTGCTCACTGTCCCCCTTCAGAATCCTGAAGACGCGATCCGAGACATCCCTGACCCTGGCACGTGGGAGGCAACATACCATCCGGGCATCTCGTTCAGTACCAATGAATCTCCTGTCTGTTCCCCTAACTATTGAATCTGCTATCACTATCGCTCTGCTATTCTTCCCCCTTCCCTTCTGAGCCACAGAGCCAGGTTCATTGCCAGAGGCCTGGCCGCTATGGGTTTCCCTGGTAAGTCGTACCCCCCAACAGTATCCAAAGCGGTATACTTATTATTGAAGGGAACGGCCACAGGGGATCCCTGCCCTGTCTGCCTATTCCCTTTCCCATTCCTGACGGTCACCCAGTTACTTTTATCCTGTAACATGGGTGTGACAATCTCCCTACAACTCCTATCTATCACCCCCTCAGCCTCCTGAACGATTCGGAATTCATCCAGCTCCAGTTCCAGATCCCTAATGCGGTCTGTGAGGAGCTGGAGTTGCATGCACTTCTCGCAGGTGAAGTCAGAAGGGACACCAGTAGTAACCCTTACCTCCCACATCCTACAAGAGGAGCATTTAACCGTCCTAGCTTTCATCCCCTCTGCTCTAAAATGCCAAAAGAGAGAAAAGAAAGCTCACTAGCCACAGGCTAGTTAGGCTAGGAATAGAGAGCGAGTGCAGCTGAACACATGGCTACAGAGCTGATGTAGGAGGGAGGGCTTCAGATATGTGATCATTGGGATATCTTCTGGGGAAGGTGGGGCCTATACATGAGGACAGGTTGCACCCAAACGAGAGGGGCACCAATATTCTGGGCAGGAGGTTTGCTAGAGCTCTTCAGGAGGGTTTAAACCAGTTTGGCGGGGATGGGAACCACACAGAGTCTTGTTTTGGTTAGAGGAAGAGAATGGGTGGGAGACACTACACATGTTTGGTTTTGTTGGATTAATCTGCTATTTCTCCACCCAACTTTCCAACCTGTTACCAACGCTACCTCCTCCCTAATATCAACACACCACTCCCCAGTCTTACATCATCCATGTCCTTTGGCTTGGTGAATACAGATACAAAGTGCTCATTAAGGACCTCACCCACTTCCTCTGGCTGCACAAATAAATTCCCTCTGTTGTCCTTGAGTGGATCTACCCTTTCCTAGCTACCTTCTTGCTCTTAATAGAATAAAATGCCTTGGGATTCTCCTTCTTCCCATTGGCCAAGGACATTTAATGGTCCCTTCTAGCCCTCCTAATTTCTTTTCTAACTTCTTTTCTGTTGCTTTTCTTTGCTGGGACCTGTGGACCTGTACGCCCAAATCCTTCTGTATGTTAGTGCTAGATCTGGATTTACCCTTAAACAGCGTCCCCAGTCTAATTTCTCCAATTCCTGTCTAATACTGTTGTAATTAACCTTCTCCCAATTTTTATATTCTGTTTCCTCAAGGGCCTTGTTTCATTTCTATTTCCTAAACCTTACGTAAGCTTCTTTTTTCTTTTGAGTATCTCTTGTCAGCAAAGGTTCTTGAGTCTTGCCATAGTTATCTTTCATCCTCACAGGAACATGCTAATCCTGAACTCTGAACAACTGGCCTTTAAAAGATTCCCTTGTCAAGGAACAGTACAGCATAGGAACAATTCACATATTTCCCTCTAACACCACCTCTGGTATTCATTCCAGGTATTCATCACCCTCTGTGTAAAATAAAACTGTCTCTCACATCTTCTTTAAACTTTTCCTTTTTACCTTAAACCTATGTCTCCTAATAATGGCCATTTGTACCCTGGGGGCAAAAAGACTCCATTCTATTTATGCTTCTCATAATTTTGTAAACTTTCTATCAGGTTGTTCCTTCAGTCTCCAACATTCAAGTGAAAATAAACCAAATTTGTCCAATCTTTGCTCATCGCTAATACCCTCCAAATCAGGCAACATCCTGGTAAACCATTTATCTGTACCTTCTCCAAATCTTCCACAACCTTTCGTGGTGACTAGAACTGTACGCAATATTCCAAAGCTCTATAATAGCTGTAACATGACTTGCCAATTCTTATACTTTATTCCCTAAGGATGAAGGCAAACATGCCAAACACCGTCTTGACTACCTTATCCACTTGTCACTTGCTGGGAACTGTGGATCTGTACGCCCAAATCCTTCTGTATGTTAGTGCTAGATCTGGATTTACCCTTAAACAGCATCCCCAGTCTAATTTCTCCAATTCCTGTCTAATACCGTTGTAATTAACCTTCTCCCAATTTAGCACTTTCACTGGAGGAACAGTCTTATTCTTCTCCAGACCAACTTAAAACTTGTGGAATTATGATCACTGTTCCCAAAATGCTACTTCACCTAAACTCTTGCAATCTTTTTATATTATTGGCTGGCTTACTCTCATATTACATCTTCTCCCTTCATTTTTTTTTTAGTGTATCTTTTGTTGGTTTTTAAAGGCTTCCCAATCCTCTGGCTTTCCACTAATCTTTACCACATTGTATGCTGTTTCTTTTGCTTTTCTGCTACTCCTGACTTCCTTTGTCAGCTATTGTCTGATGGGAAAAATCAATTAATTCAACTTTTCTCCACTGCTCAATGCCTCCTGAAACATTTAAATTATGATAAAATCACGACCTGTCCTGAATGAATTTTTGATTGCCAAATAAATTATTCTGAATTAATGGGTGGGGTTATTAGCGAACAGGGTTTTTAGTGGTTTATTTGCCCTGTCTCTTAACTTCAACCTCTTGCAGCTCTGTGATCATGTTCTGTACAAAAGTAAAATTTTGGATCTTACAGCCGCTGATTCAGAGCAAAAACGGGATAGAGAAAAGGAAAACGAGGACAGTCCATTTGGGGCCATCAGAAACAGCTGGAGAAAAGTTCACTAGTTCAGGGTGATGAGGTACATATATCCTGAAGTTTCAACTGACCCAAAATTTACATCCTACAATGTAAAAGCATTCCACTATCCCTTAGTGTGTAAAAACAGAGTTCAAACTTCACTCTATCAGGAATGGTCTCTAATTAATGTTTGATCTCAATAATGCTGAGCATGAACCTATCATTGATTGTCATGAAAACCCATCCAGAGAAAGAAACCTGCCATCCTTACCTGGTCTGGCCTACACATAACCCCAGGTCCACAGCAGTATGGGTGAGTCTGTACTGAAATGGCCGAGCAAGCTATTTAGTTTAAGGGCAATTAGGGTTGGGGAATAAATGCTGATTTGCCAGTATCTCACACATCCAATGATTGAATAAAGAAGACAAAATCCTGTGATTATACTTTGGAGATGAAAATGAAAATGCCATATGTGTCAGTGATGAGTCTTCAACTATGCTAAATCTATGTGACCTACATTAAACATATGGATGAATAGAACAATGGTATTGGAGCCAAATTTGCTGATTATACAAAGCTAGGTATGAAAGTAAGTTGTGAAGAGGCTTTAATGTCTGCAAAGGGATATAGAGAGGCTAAGTGAATAGGCAAAAATTTGGGAAACGTTACAGACTGTGGGAAAATGTGGGCTTGTATTAGCTGGAAAGTCAGAGGCTGCTTGAGGGCTGAGCAAAGGTATTCCACAAAGCAATCACGCATTCTGGATTTGGTTTCCCTTCAGTAGAGGAGACTGCATTGTATGTAGCAAATGCAGTATGGCAGATTAAAAAAAGTACAAGTAAATTGGACCTCTACCTGGAGGCAGTGCTTGAGTTTTTCAACCGTGAAGATGACTATGTAATAGGGCCCTAACATCCTTTTGTTGGCTTGATATTACATTGTGTTGAACATACTCCCCATGAATTGCCTTGGGAGAGTTTACTATACTAAAGGTGTTACACAAGTACAAGTTATTGTTGTCAGTGGCTTCATTGTTTCCCAACATTACGACAGTGACTATACTTCAAAAGTAATTTATTAGCTGTGAAATGCTTTTAGGGCATTCCAAAACATATAAAAAACACATATAAGTTCAAGTTCTTTCTTCTTTTCTGAGAACTTCATTTGTTTTTATTGTCCAGCAGCTGAGTTACGAATCAGTGAGCTACTGTCAACCTGTCACAGCTTATTGTCCATTGCAAAGCAAGTGCCACACGACAAAGCAGATTCATTTTCTTTAAAGATGCCTTTTTATTCCTAGTAACACCATTTTTGCCAATAATAGCGAATGACAATAGATATTTCTTGTCTTAATTCTCTGTGTGGGCTATGAGTCTTCTATCTCGTATTGAAGGGCAAATGTAAATTTTGTGTCAAACATTTTGTCTGAAACTCCAACACTGAGGTACTTGGAGTCTTGTGTGTAACACCTTCCTTCCCAGTAGCCGTCCTTGTTCATAGTCAGTGGACAGGGAGTTTTGCCATAAACCTGGACCTTTCTCACATGGGGGATTTTGAGCTTGAATGTCACCATCTCGTTGCGTGGCAGAATTCCAGAGAGCGGCTCGATTAATTCACATCCGTCAGTCCAAGAGCTGAAAATTTTAGGGAAACTTGGCCAGTGGACATTCTTACCACGACATGAAATGAAGTATTCACACACGTGATCATGTGCTGGATTGTGTTTTGCCTTCTCCTTGGCAAAGATGGTAAAAACATAAAGACCGGCTGCAGGAAGGTGGATCTGGAATTCCACCCAGTTACCTTGCTGAGTTTTGAAGACATGATTTCTCATGACCTCATCTGACAATGTGACGTCATCACAGGACAACTTGCTGGTGAACGTGAGATCTCTGTTCAGCATGAACCTTATTTTACACTTGCCATCATCACAGTAAATAATGGGTTCAGGGTGTGAGGGCTTCATAAGACCCTGGTTCTCAGTAATCCAGCTGGGCCCCAAAGGATTGTGAAATATCTTTGGTAGCTTGAAGTTTTCATCAATAAAATCACATTTAACCAAATATGCACATATAAAGGAAAAAGTCTCCTCTTTAGAATTAAATAGTTTGGCATAAATCTTTAACCTGAATTCTCCAGCCGTTTGTGGAAGAACCTCAAGCTTCATGCCATACTTAGTTATGGTTAAGATGCCGCAGTCCTTTTTCCCGTCCAGATTGAACATGAAGTACGTAGGATATAAGCCCTCCACATTGATAATAACTCTTCCATTCACTGTTTAAAATGATTGAAAATTAGTTTAGCACGTTAGAGATGCCCTTCACTGGTGAACGCACAATAGGTTCCTATTGTTTTTTCAAGTTAGCATAACTTTGCTGCATTCTCTTGAATAAACCTACTTTACCTAACACTGCCGCCTGCCAGAGTTTCATGATGAAGCTCAGTCTGTGTATTTCCCGATGCCTTCGCAGAGGTAGAAAATCAGTTGAAAACAAAACAGCAATTCATGGAAATGAACATACTGGAGCTCCATACTGACAAGTTAGACCAGTATCTGTCATTCATCTGGTTTTCCTTCTAGCTGGTGTGGGAGACTTAAAGTAATAGCACATTACTACTTAATTACTAATTCCTGGGGAAGGTATCAGTTAGTTAGCTAGTTGGCTAGGGTGCGCTGAAAAACCAGAACCAACAGAGTGGGTTCAGTCCCATTTGTGGCTGTTGTAGATTGTGGAGGCCCTGCCTCCGCACCTTGGCCCGTGCTAGTGGAGTTGTTATTCTCAAATTGTATATAACTAAATGTCTCTTTCTAATGAAGAGAGGTCCCTCTGGTCCTTTACCATGCCAATCTCTTTACGTTCTAGGTGTCTCATTACTGTAATTGATCCAACTAATTTATGAACATAATTGCTCTGTGTGCATTATCTGGACTACTTTCTGTAACAACAGGTAGCAATAATTAATTTGGTTGTTATGTGAATTATTGAATCATGACTCTATGAGTTATGGCCTCACTTTTAAACCTGAGTAACAACACATTCAGTTACTTGTTACCACTGCATCTCAGGTTTACTGTGGTCTATTGTTTTCCTATCCGCTGTCATCCCTGCATATGGCACTGATCAGGGCAAACTCGATCTTTTCCGTCAATCTTACATCTCCATTCTCCCCGGTCTCCCACACCCCCAGTCCCTCAAGTAAAACATTGCACAAATTCTGAGCTGACACTCCAGTAAAGTGTTGAGGGAGTGCAGCATCTTTGGAGGCGTAAGCTTTCTGTCCATCATCACACAAGTGTTAGGTCTGTACAAGGAGGCCATTCATCTCTTGGTGTCTGTGCTGGCTCTCTAGGAATTTTGGGTTAATGCCGATCTCCTGCGTTATCTCATAACCTGCACATTGTTTCTGTTTAAATAATCATCTAATGCCCTCTCAAACACCTCAGTTGAACCTACCTCCAGTACACTTCCAGGTTGGCCACAAAAGATCTCGTGGCAATACTTTGAAGGGAAGAATACTCCCAGGTGTCCTGGCTAAGGTTTATCTCTAAAGCAGCAATGCTTATCTGGGCAGTTACCTCATTTGTGCTTTTGGAATCCTGCTGTGTACAAATTGATTACCTCATTTCCTATATTGTAACAGCAACTCCAAAATTACTTCATTGGTTGTAAAGTGCTTTGAATTGACTGCTGGGGAGGGTGATGAGCTAGAGGTCGTGGTACATGTTGGTACCAATGGCTTGGGCAGTGAGGAATGAGGTCTTGCATCAAGAATTCAGGGAGCTAGGCAGTAGATTAAAAATCAGGACCTCAATTATTGTGATCTCTGGATTACTCCCAGTGGGACATGTACAAATGGGACAATCTTAACCTGAAACACATTGGGACCAACGACCTTGCAGGTAGGTTTGCTAGTGCTATTGGGAGGAATTTAAACTAATCTGGCAAGGTGGGAGCACACAAAATATCGATGAAACCAAGACACATCATGCTGTAGCAAAGGAAGCAAGTCAGAATGAGTTCAGCCATGTTGAGTGTCAAGAGAGAAAGGCGAGGCTGGTTAGTCTTTATTTCAATACGAGAAGTGTAATAGGTAAGACTGATGTGTTAATGGTGTGCATTGGCACATGGAAGTGTGATAATGTTGCCATCACAGAAACATGGTTGAGGAAAGAGATGGACTGGAAACTCAACATTCCAGGTTATAGGATTTTAGGTGAGACAGAGGAGGATATAAAAAGGGTAGTGGTGTAGCACCATTAATTAAGGAGTCACTTACTGCAATAAGCAGAGATGATATCTTGGAAGGGTCTTCAAACTAGGCTTTGTGGATTGAACTTAGGAATGTTAAGGGAGGAGCTACTTTACTGGGAGTGTATTATAGGCCCCCAAAGAGTCAGCAAGAAATAAAACAGCAAATAGGTAGACAGTTCACAGAGGTGTGTGTGAGTAATAATCAGGTATTTATACTCAGGAATTTAAGCTTGCCTAACATAAATTGGGATAGTCATAGTGTTAAGGGTCTAGAGGGGGTGATGTTCTTGAAATGTATCCAGGGAAGAATTTTGGATCAAGACATTGAAGGCCCAACAAGGGCTGGTGCAGTGCTGGATGTGGTTCTGGAGTAAGTAGCCAGACAAGTATTCGATGTGGCGGTGGAGGATCATTTTGGTGATTGTGACCACAACACGGTACAGTTCAAATTTGTTCTGGACAAGGAGAAAAATGGCTTGCAAAAGATGGCTTTGGATTGGGGGAAGGCAGGTTTTATTAAAATAAAGCAGGATCTGGCCACAGTAAACTTTAGAGGGAAATATAGGAGCAATAAATTCAGATAACACTGGTTGTTTAGGGTAGTTCAGTACTGGAAGAGGAAGAAGAGTAAGGCTTTTAGCAAGTCCAAAAGGAGCAATTCAGCTGTAGTTCTAGAGGAATACAGGCAAGTACAGGAGGGAATTTAAGAAAGCAATTAGAAGAGCAAACAAGCAGCATGAAAAACGGTTTGCGAACAGGATTAGGGAAGATCCTAAGATATTTTGTACATACATTAAAGGGAAAAGGTTAACTGCAGAAAGAAAAGGGCCCAATAGGGACCAGGAGGACAACCTGTGTGTGTATCGGAGGATATTAGAAGGAAGATGAATGAATACTTCTCTTCAGTCTTCAATCTGGTAAAGGAGAACGCAGGTAGAGAATTCAGGAAAAGGGACTGTGAGGAACTTGCACAGTTTGATGTAGGAAATGGGAAGGTATTAGAGGCTCTGTCGGGTTTAAAAACAGACAAATCCCCCTGGTTCGGATGAATAGCATCGCAGGCTGCTGTGAAAGGCGAGGCAGGAAATTGTAGGGGCTCTGACACAAAATCTTAATTCTCTTTGGCCACTGGGGAGGTGCCAGAGGACTGGAGGGCAGCTAATGTGGTTCCATTTTAAGAGGGGTAGTAGAGATGAACCAGGAAATTACAGACCGGTGATTCTCACGTCCGTGGTAGGGAAACTATTGAAGAATATTCTGAAGGAACAAATTAATAACCACTTGGAAAGTTAGTTACGAATTGTCAGCATGCCTTTGTCAGAGGGAGGTCATGCCTAACAAATTTGTTAAAAATTTTTGAAAATGTCATCAAGTGTGTGGATGAGGGAAGTTCAGTTGATGTAGTTTATATGGATTTTAGCAAAGCTTTTGACAAGATCCCATGTGGAAGACTAATTGAGAAGGTTAAAGCACATAGAATTAAGGGAAACTTGGTGAGATGGATCAGAAACTGGCTCAGTAATCGGACACAAAGGGTAGTGGTAGGGGCTGTTTGAGTGACTGGAGACTGGTGTCCAGCAGTGTACCACAAGAATCAGTACTGGAACCCTTATTGTTTGTTGTATACATAAATACTGCTGAAAATGTGGGGGGAATGTTAAGCAAATTTGCAGACGGCCCCAAGTTTGATAGAGCAATTAACAGCAAAGAAGATGGTTGCAGGTTACAGGAAGATATAGACAGGTTGGTCATACGGGCAGACCAGTGGCAGAAAAGAAGAAAACAAGATGAGGGAGTATTTAAAGAATGGCAGGACACTGGGTAGCTTACAGAAACAGAGACATAGTGGGGTAATTATTCATAGATCCCTGAAGTCGGTAAAGCATGTGAATAGGATAAGTTAAGAAGGCATAAGGGACAGTTGCTTTTATCAGTCGTGGCATAGAGTATAAGAGCAAGGAGGTAATGTTGGAATTGTACAGGGTGTTGGTCAGGCTGCAGCTGGGGTACTGTGTGCAGTTCTGGTTAGAACATATAAAACATAGAACAGTACAGCACAGTACAGGCCCTTCGGCCCACGATGTTGTGCTGAACTTTTACCCGAAACCTAAGGTCTATCTAACCTCCACCGCTACCTTATACTATCATCCATATGCCTATCTAATAGCCGCTTAAATGCCCCTAATGACGCCAACTCCACTACCCTCTCCGGCAATGCATTCCACGCCCCTACCACTCTCTGAGTAAAGAACCTACCTCTGATGTCTCCCCGATATCTACCTCCTTTCACTTTAAAACTATGTCCCCTCGTAAAAGCTACCTCCACCCTAGGAAAAAGTCTCTGGCTGTCTACTCTATCTATACCTCTGATCATTTTGTACACCTCTATCAAGTCACCGCTCATCCTTCGTCGTTCTAAAGAGAAAAGCCCTAGCTCTCTCAACCTTTCCTCGTAAGACCTTCCCTCCATTCCAGGCAACATCCTGGTAAATCTCCTTTGCACTTTTTCTAACACTTCCGCATCTTTCCTGTAATGAGGTGACCAGAACTGGACACAATACTCCAGATGTGGCCGAACCAGGCTTTTGTATAGATGGAGCATAACTTCACGGCTCTTGAACTCAATTCCTCTATTAATGAAAGCTAACACACCATACGCCTTCTTAACAACTCTATCCACCTGGGTGGCAGCTCTCAGGGAACTGTGAACATGAACCCCAAGATCCCTCTGCTCCTCCACACTGCCAAGAATCTTTCTGTTAACCCTGTATTCTGCTTTCAAGTTTGTCCTTCCAACATGAATCACCTCACACTTTTCAGGGTTAAACTCCATCTGCCACTTCTCAGCCCAGCTCTGCATTCTATCAATGTCCCTTTGTAACCTAGAACAGCCCTCCGCACTGTCCACAACGTGACCCACCTTTGTATCGTCTGCGAACTTGCTAATCCACCCTTTCGCTCCGTCATCCAAATCATTTACAAAAATCACAAATAGAAAAGGACCCAGAACAGATCCTTGTGGTACACCACTCGTAACTGAGCACCATCCTGAATATTTTCCGTCCACTACCACCCTTTGTCTTCTAAGGGTCAGCCAATTCTGAATCCAATCTGCCACATTTCCCCCTATCCCATGCCTCCTTGCCTTCTGCATGAGCCTACCATGGGGAACCTTATCAAACGCCTTACTTAAATCCATGTATACCACATCCACTGCTCTACCTTCATCCACGTGTTTGGTCACCTCTTCAAAGAATTCAATAAGGTTTGTGAGGCATGATCTACCCCTCACAAATCCATGCTGACTATCACGAATCAAACTGTGCCTTTCCAAGTGATCATAAATCCTGTCTCTCAGAGCCCTTTCCAATAATTTGCCCACCACTGATATAAGACTAACTTTCCTGTAATTTCTGGGGTTATCCCTGCTCCCTTTTTTGAACAAGGGAATGACGTTTGCCTCTTTCCAATCTTCTGGCACTATACCCGTGGACAGTGAGGACGAAAAGATCATCGCCAAAGGCCCTGCGACCTCGTCCCTCGCTTCCCATAGTATCCTTGGATAAATTCCATCAGGCCCGAGGGACTTATCTATCTTCAACTTCCTCAGAATTTCTAGCACATCTTCTTTACTAACATCAACCTCCTCTAGCCTACCTGCCTGTTTCACAACGCCCTCCTCTACAACTAGATCCCTCTCAGTTGTGAATACTGAAGAAAAGTATTCATTAAGGACCTCTCCTATCTCTTTAGGCTCGGTGCACAAATTCCCTTTACAATCCTTGATTGGCCTTACCTTTTCTCTGGTCATTCTCTTGTTCTGCACATATGTGTAAAAAGCCTTGGAGTTTTCCTTGATCTTATCCACCAAGGTTTCCTCATGCCCCCTTACAGCTCTCCTAAGCTCTTTCTTCAGCTACTTCCTTGCTAACTTGTGTCCCTCTAGAGCCTTTTCCGTTCCTCTTTTCTTAGACCTTACATAAGCTTCCATCTTCCTCTTAACCAGTCGCTCGACCTCTCAGGAGAACAATGGCGCCCTCACTCGACCGCATCTTCTCTGCCTGCTAGGGACAAACATATCGAGCACATGCAGTATGCATTCCTTAAACAATCTCCACATTTCTGTAGTACTCTTCCCTGACAGCATCTGTTCCCAATTTATGTTACCCAGTTCTTGCCTAACTGAATTGTAATTACCCTTCCCCCAATTATAAACTTTACCCTGCCGTATGTACCTATCCTTATCCATGACTATCGTGAAAGAAACAGAGTTATGATCGCTACCGCCAAAATGCTCTCCTACCAACAGATCTAACACTTGGCCCGGTTCGTTACCAAGCACCAAATCCAAAGTGGCCTCTCCTCCTGTTGGTCTATCTACATACTGTGTCAGGAATCCTTCCTGAATGCACTGGACAAAATCTGCTTTATCTAAACTATTACAACTAAAATGTTTCCAATCAATATTTGGAAAGTTGAAGTCACCCATGACTACAACCCTGTGACTTCTGCACCTTCCCAGTATCTGCCTCCCAATCCACTCCTCTACTTCTCTGCAACTATTAGGGGGTCTGTAAAAAAACCTCCAACAAAGTGACTGCTCCTTTCCTGTTCCTGACCTCAACCCAAACTGACTCTGTCGACATATCATTCTCGAACTGCCTTTCAGTAGCTGCTATACTCGCCCTGACTAGCAATGCCACTCCCCCACCTCGTTTTCCACCCTCCTTATTTCTTTTAAAGCATCAAAATCCCGGAACTTCCAACAACCATTCCTCTCCCTGAGTTACCCAAGTTTCTGTAATGGCCACAACATCGTAGTTCCAAGTACTGACCCACGCTCTAAGTTCATCCGCCTTATTTCTGATACTTCTAGCATTGAAGTATACACACTTCAAACCATCCCTGTGTCCACAATTACGCTCCATCGACTGCATTTCTTTATAAACAACCTCACTCCCTATTGTGTCTGTTGAAAGGCCGAATACCTCACCCTCTGAATTATAAATCCGGTTCCCCACCCCCTGCCAATCTAGTTTAAACCATCCCGTACAGCTCTAGCAAACCTCCCTCCCAGGATATTTGTGCCCTTCTGGTTCAGGTGCAACCTGTCCTTATTGTACAGGTCCTACCTTCCCCAGAATGTGCTCCAATTATCCACATAATGGAAGCCCTCCCTCCTACACCAGCCCTGTAGCCTCGTGTTTAGCTGCACTTTCTTCCTATTTCTTACCTTGTTATCACGTGGCACTGGTAGTAATCCAGAGATAACTACCCTGTTTGTCCTGGACTTCAGCTTCCAACCTCACTATCGGAAGGATGTGATAGCACTAGACGGGGTACAGAGGAGGTTCGCCAGATGTTGCCTGGGATGGAGAAATTGAGCCATAAGGAGAGTCTAGATAGGCTTGGATCGTTTTCTTCAGAGCAGAGAAGACTGAGGGGGGCATGATTGAGGTGTATAAGGTTGTGAAGAGTATGGACAAGGTGAACAGACAGTAGTTGTTCACCGTGGTCGAAGGGTCAGTCATGAGAGGGCACAGTTGTAGGGTAAGGGGCAGGAGATATAGAGGGGATTTGGGAAAAGACTTTTTCACTCAGTGGATGGTGGGAATCTGAAAGGCACTGCCTGGGAAGATAGTGGAAGCTGAAAACCTTACAACCTTTAAAACCATATTTGGAATAGCACTTTAAATATCATTGAAGGATATGGGACAAGTGTAGGAAATTGGGATTAGCATGCCTTTAGTGATAATTATGATGGTACAGACTTGATGGGCTGAAGAGCCTTTTCTGTGCTGTATGAATCTATGATTGACTGTGGTTGAATAGGGGTTATGTAAATGCAAGTTCTTTCTCCTTTCCTGCTGTATATATCTTGATGCTGCACTATAAGATGTGTATGTAACGTGAAAATATTTAACATATGACCTGGAGCTTCCTGAGAAACTACGTAAGGAGGATGTGAATTTCTCTGCCTGAGTTTCCCCAATCTTTTATGCTAATTCTGCAGAACCTCTGCTCATATCCTCTACTCCTTTTTGACATAACCTTCACCCCTTTGCTCTCTCCTGTGTCCAAAGTGTACACTCCATGCAACTTCCCTGAACTCACGGCTATTCTGAGGGTAGCTTGAAACGTCATGCTCCAAGCGTTGGGTGCAAGAGCATTCAATGTTTTTGATGCCCTTTTATTGCCTGTTTGCAACAATATTTTCTCAAATTTTACTTCAAGGATCTAAACTGTATTTTCTGCAACCTTGAATGAATGTTTACAGGATGGCTTGCACTAAAATGTGAAATGCTTCCACAATTGTATTTTCTCAATTATGTTATATTTAATGTGTCAAGCAGTAGCTGGCCTTAATTACTTAATTTGCATCCATAATTGGAGAAGATGAAGTAAGCTTGGAACATTAAGGCTGGATGGTTCAAACACCGTGTCTTATGCAAGTTAAGATTTGCAGTGAATTTTGGTGCTATGCCCAGTTATATTGTTTGGAAAGTTCTAGGTCACTGTTTGTACATGTGTCTTTGATTTTGTAAAGAATTATATACGCATTTGTAGAATGGTTATGCTTTACTGTTTTATCCTTTCTACATATATTGTAAAATTATGAATAACCTTATTTTGGATAAACTAAACAAAGGCAAAGAAACCAGAAACAAAAACAGAAGTTGCTGGAAAAGCTTATCTGGTCTGGCAGCATCTGTGAAGAGAAATCAGAGTTAATGTTTTGGGTCAACTGGCCCTTCCTCAGAACGGATGGTGGCTAGGGAATTGTCGGTTTATATGCAGAAGATAGGATGATGGAGGGGGTAAAGAGTAAATGATAAGTAGGGATAGAGCTCAAAGAGACAGAAGAACAGTTGGATAGACAAAGGAGTGGATAATGATCTGGCTAAGAGGTTGAATAGCTATTAATGGGGACTGTTAATGGCTAACAATGGGTTGCATCTAATAGTAGACTATGTGATCGCAAGGACTGGTGTGTGGGGTTGGGGTAAGGACATGGGAGAGCTCAAGCCATAAAACTGCTGAACTCGGTACTGAGTTGAGAAGGCTGCAGGGTCCCCAAGTGGAAAATGAGCTGCTGTTCTTCCAGTTTGTGCTGAGCTCTGCTAGAGCACTACAGCAAGCCTGAGACAGAGATGGTGTCCAGGGAACAGGGTGGTGTGTTGAAGTGGCAGGCAACTGGAAGCTCAGGATCTTTTCTGCAGACAGGAAAGAAGCCAGCCCTAAATTTCCACTTTAGTTGATTTCAAGAATAAACACCTCTTCTTCTATCAAATGTTACTTTTTGTGGTTCAAATACAAATTTGCCAGATATCATTGTAGGTGCTGTTTTTCTTTCAGCCAGTGGGTTGAAAGCTGATCAATTGTGTTGAAAGATAAATCTCTAACTAGAGTGATTGCTGCTGAACTGTGCATTGAGACCCTTACCCAAAATCTAGACATAGCAGATTGTCAATACAATCATAAAACCCCCTCTTTTCCTCATTCTGTTTCATTCTTCAGCTCTCTTACCTCTTTCATTCTTTCTTTCTCTTATTGTCTTTTTACTTTCTCTTGCTCCCTCTTTTTCTCTTCCTCCTTCAACCTTCTCTCTCTCTCTCTCCCCATCTTCCCCTGTTTCCTGCCTTATCTTGTTCTCTGTAACCAAATACCCTTTTGCCGCCTTTCTCTCTTTCTCAGTCCTTCCGTTGGTCTGTCTCTCTTTGTTGCAGCCCAATAATTTCATGTTTCAACTTATTGTACAATCCTGAGAACCGGTACATGTCTTCATCATTTACCTGTGGACACCACCTGTACTTCGGGATGGATGTATGTCAAACCAATATCATAGAACTCTCCTGTCCTAAAGACCATATTTTCAAATATTTTGAGGGAAATCTTTGGAGAAATGAGCTGCCACTTTTCATCATTGGGGAAATGATTATTGATGAAGAGGGTAGGATGAGTAAAGAAATAAAATTCAACATACCTGCAATATAAAGATAGAGTATTTTAGAAATACATGGAGTAAAATTCCCAAGTTGCACTGTAAAATAGCAGGCTCTATTTTGCTTTCAGAGGAGTTTGGGATCAGTGTGAGGCCTTTTTTTTAGTCAATTTCATCACCTAGGCAAGTGAAGCCATATCTCCTAATCATTCAAATATCTTTCATCAATGGTGCACATGACACTGCAGAACTTTGGAGCTTTTCTCAATGGGTGAGGGGAAAGGGGAGGAGTCAATTACCTCAAACCCACCCACTCGCCCCAAGCTCTAAAACATCTGAATTTGACCATTGAGATCAACAGCCTGTCTAAAGGCTTCTTATAGATCAGGTGAACAGCTTTGTGCTGTTACATGTGCTCCTGAGGAGCACAGACTGTAACCCTTTTAGAAAAGGTCAGATAAATATGAAGGAGCTGTAAGATTGGGAAGCCAGCTGATAAGGAGGTTCAACTGCATGCCCCAGCTGCCATGGAATGGACAGTGCCAGTCATTGTTGAAGTACTGATTTCTGAGGCCATGATCAGCTACAGGAAGGAATTACCATTGAAAGTGACAATATCTTCATACGTCATCGTCCTTCTTGGATCTCATCTCCCCCTCATCCCTCACTTAGTGCTGATCTATACACTGCAAATGGTGTAAGCAGGCACCTCCATGCTCTGAAAACTACTCTTTTGCCTTCCCGCATTCAGGTCCCCAAGAGATGCTCCCTGGCTGGGAAGCAGAGAAACAGGAGACCAGAGCAGTGATGATGAACACCCAGCAATGACACACAATTTGACATCGGCAGTTGTCAGTTCAGACTCTGACACCATGCCTATCTGAGAGGATAACTTCAGAGTGGGTCAGATACTAGGGATGAATGGCCTGTAGCCAGGGCAGGCAACGGGGCCAACTGAGGTGCCACCTTGCCTGACAGCAAGGTCAGACATGCACTTTGCTGAGGTGGATTCAGAAGAACAAATTGATGGGGCAATCTACGCAAGAATGCTGATGGATTTGTCTAACTAAGTACTGGATGTCTACCGGTGCGCCCATGTCTGAAAAAAATTGTTTTTTGCAGGGATCTTGAATACAGGACAAAATTCTTCAGCATACGTCACACCACACTCTGATCAACAGTAACTTGAAGCAACCATAGACAATTCCAAAGTCCTAAGGGATTTCAACAGTAGCCAGAATAAATCAGCAGCTGCTATCGTACAAAAAAAAACAGGAAGTAGTTGACAATCTCTTGCACTAATGGGAACTGCGAGGGAAGTGGGAGGGGGTTAACGGAGGATGGTGAGGAAAGGTAAGTGTGTTCTACTCCTTGCTGAGCTGATGCACATTCAGCTGTTTAAGGATCAGAGATTCAATGAGGTGTTCAACTTAAAAATAACATCAGATCAGCATTGCCCTCCTAATCAACCCACAATTCACAAGTCCAGAGTGGGCAATGAAGACAACACCAATATGGGCATCCAATGTAATTTGACCCAAAGATGTGGGCACATGCTGTGGATGACTTTTTGGATCGCGAGTGCCAAGATCATTACCTGAGCAACAAGCATAACAACTGCAGTTTCTCATCTATACTGCCCTTCCATTTGATAGAAGCAGTATGCCAAAGGAGGAGGTCCAGGGGGGTTACAATGCCAGGTACTGTCAAATATCACAATCCAGTTTCAATGCAGTTCACCCCATCTTTAGGGGAAAGGGACTGAACAGAGATGACTTACTTCCCACCAAGTGCCATGTTTCAGGTGGGTTTCCATGAATGACTGTGCCATTCTCTGATCACTAAGTGTGGAGCAACTTCAGCGAAAGTTCTGCAAATGGTGACCTGTTTCCATTCTTGGGCAAGATCAAAAAGGACCTCAATTCAGGGGAAAGATGAGAAGGCAGAAAGATAACTCATCCCACAGAGTAAAATAGCAACATATTCATACTAAATGATTACAGTGCCTGCAATTTAGAAAAAGGTGAACAAAGAACTTAGATGAATTGAAAAGAAATACTAACTTGAAAGTAAACTTGGTGCAAGTCTCATTAACGTGGCCTGCCCCCCAAGTACTATCCAGAAGGTGCCACTTCCCATCCAAAAACACAGCATTCCATGCATGGTCATCTTCTCCTGTGAATGTCTTCCCAACATCATAGTTGTAGCCTTTGGAGTATCCTTCAATTGTAGTACACTGTATACCTGCAAGACTAATTTGATGGCATTTAATGTATAGTCAATCATTAGGCACATCCAGTTTATGATCTTCTTTTGAGAAACTTGTGAGGACTAACATAGATAGGGTTTGGTAACAATGGGGTTTGATTAAGGGGGAGAGAATTAAATCAGTTGCCTTTGCAATGTCAATTGGATTTTGCAAGCCCATAGGTTGTAAGAGGAGGGGATGATTTTGGACTTTGTTTATTTATTCTTGGAATCAAGGTGTCAATCATTAGGTCTCCCATTTCTAGTTGCCCTTGCGAAGTTGGTGGTGAGCTGCGTTCTGGAAATGCTGCAGTCCTTATGCTGTAGATGGACCTATGATGCCATTGGGGGCGCAGAATTCCAGGATTTTTACCCAGCACTAGTGAAGGAATGGCAATATACTTCCAAGTCAGGATGGTGAGTGGTTTGGAGGGGAACTTACAGGTTGTGGTCTTCCCATGTATCTGCTGCCCCTACTGTTTTGATTTGTTGCATTTGAGATAATAGACAATATACACTGTTGTCAAGTGGGAAGTATTCCATTACTCTCCTAACTTGTGCCATGTAGATGGTTTGGGAAAAAAAGATGTAAGTTACTCACCACAGAATTCCCAGCTTCTGACAGTCACAGTAATTTAATGGCTGGTCAGTGATAATACCCATGATTTTGACATTGGCGGTTTCAGCAATGGAGTAACACTGAATATCTAGCATAGATATTCACTTATCAGAATGAATATTCCAAAGTGTTGAGGTCCTAGTTAAAATTATGGATGGTCCAATGAGCTTTGAATTCAACATATTGAGGACAGAAATTATGTAGGGTGACTTTATGGGGTCTGACCTGCTTAACAAAGGAAACTATTAGGAAGACTCAAAGTGAATACTTTGCTTGGTGGTTCTTATTCTCTAATAAATGAAATTCACTGTTCTGAAGAGGGTCAGTGGACTCAAAACGTTAACTCTGCTTTCTCTCCACTAATGCTCTCCAGACCTGGTGAGCTTTTTCAGCAATTTCTGCTTTTGTTTCTGATTTTCAGCATCTGCAGATCTTTGGGTTTTTTTTGGAGACAAAACAAGATCTATGGACTGGCAAAATGAAGTGAAAGTGCATGAAATTCGACAATGGTTCCCAGATTGGAACTGGAAGTGGCCTTGCCCTAGGATATGATCATGTGTGGTGATTGTGGGAGGAGAGGTTACCTAGCAATGGACCAGAATGAGATTGGAGGGCCAGCAGAAACTATGGTCAAACTAGAGCAACAGCTATGGAACAAACTAGGGAAGAGACTAGAAATGGAATCCCTGTGATCAGGGCATTTTAGTGGTGACAAACAAATGAGAAAATAAATTGATAAGAGATTCAAAACAAGAAGAGTTGGATACTTGGAAACAATTTGGTGTCTCCTCTGTAGCACCAGATTGGGGACAGCCAGCCTGTGCAGCAAAAGAACTTTCCAATGGAGCTTAAAAGTGAGACTCAAGTCTTGGCAAATTCAAAAAGAGACAGTGTGATCAAGAGGTTAGTGTGGACTTTCCCACTGCAAGAAAAGTAATTTTTGAAGATTCTCTTCATTCTCTTAGCCACATTGATGTGATTGTAGTGGCTTGGTTAAAAAGAAAAGCCACTTTTCTACAGGGTGAAACATATTAAAGAGATATGCTTTTGAAAGAAGTAGGTGATGTACAAGGGAAGACAAGGAAATAAAAGAGTCTATTTAAAAATGCCCTAACTGCAGAAAGACTAGCACTGATAGAAGCAATAGACATGGGGTTTCCTTTACTGGACATAGAGAAGGAAATGCAAATTTAAGACATCCTAAGAAAAATTTGTCCTTTCTGTGTATAATTGTTCTCTTTGGGATAATATTCATTCAGAGAAAAGGTTGAGGATCAACTTTGTTACTATAAAAGGAAATGTGAGAAAGGAAAGAGAATTCTAAACAAGAATTGGTTGACAAAAGTTGCATATTATGTTTTACAAAAGACATGCTTGTTGCAAGAAATTAACAGCTGTCCTCGATGAGGGACATCTTGATTTATGATTCGTAAGAACTGTGAAAAACCATTGTCGTTCTTTGATTTCTTTGTATGTTGAATATGTTAATGTATATTATAAAGCTTTTAGTTTAAAGAAAAGCCCGGTATCTGTTGTGGTTTGTTAATTATGTGGTACTGTTTGCAAGGACTGGGATTACATATTATGAGTGA